AGAGGGCTTGTAGGTAGACATGACTAGCTTCCATTGAAATCTGACGATCGCAAACCCAAGTCAAGTATCGTTACAACTTGACTTCCTCCAAAACCCAAAGGCTAACAACTGACTAAGCTAATTATTGACTCGTTCTTGTCTTTTCTTGCCGCCAAAGACAACCCGCTTTGAATTTTTTTCCGACTCGCAGATGTCGGTGGTGGGTAAGAGAGCGAGTCCGGACACCTTTAGCTCCTTGTTGGTGGCCACAATTGTGTCGTGTGTGATTTGGAATCGGAGTTAACTACCATGACAAGGGAATGCTTGACAATTGATGTTTTTCCACTTCCCAGATCCGAACTGTCAGTCAGTTGAAGTATGTGACCGACATCGAATTGACGGAGATGGGAATGAGCCGGCCGGAGGTGCGACGTTTGAAGAAGCACTTTGAGAGAGAATGTCCGCAGACAACCATGGGCAAGTTGAAGAAGGTAACCACCCTTTGGCTCATTTTCAGTAAAAGCTTAGAACGTAGACATTTTTGCTGTTCTACTGCTAGCACCTTTCTGCTCCTTGTTCTGTGTTAAAATGTAACGCATTAATCAATTGCCTTAAAAGCTGAGGCGAATTTAACAAAGGTTGACTGCGTCCTTACGAAAGCCACTCGTAGCACTCGTTTCGCCTTTGGGATCTTGTTTGGCCTAATTATGCGGCTCATTTGGGTTCTTGTTGAATTCCCATCCAGAAAATGCACATGTGCATACATTCAGTCCACAAGTAATATACGTTTTTTATGCTCCGGTCTGCAACATTTAAACCAACCTCCACCAGGTGGTTGACTGGTCTCTTTGAATTGTGCAGTGATGATGGTAATCTCGATTCCCAGAGGGTTTAATTGGTTTGGCCTCAAATCTATCGATGATGGTGGTATTAACATTCAACAGCTTTTTAACACTTGTCTACTTGTCCAATGAGCCAGATCTCTATAGAATGAGGACCTTCAACATTAGTGGTACTGTTGATATTTCTGACAACCTGTGAGTGTTCTGTGGATTCCAAGTCAGGTTTCGGTCGCTAGGTTCTGTGCGCATTGCGGACTTCCAACGATACACTTCAGACTACGCAAATTAATTGGCCCCGCCTAACTCGATAATGTGGAAATGAATAGAGAGAAATCGTATCCAATGCACCGTTTTATCGATACATTCTACGAGATCTTGCTTAATTCAGGTTACCAACGGTTTTGCCCAAGGCATTGTAGTGAGTAACCGACGAATATGGTTGTTTTGATGCAATGCCCCGGGATTTCACTCGTTTATCAGTAGTAGGTGCTTGTATCAGGTTGGTGCGGAAGCGAACACAACCTCTGCTGAAATGGGTGCTCCACTCCGATATTAAAACTTTACGAAGGGGCACCACACCCTTGTTTATTGTTAAGCCCCAGCCCGGTAGTCACGTTTAGAAGTCCTGTTAACTTGCGGCACGCACGCTGTGTAGAAACTCGGGCGGTCAACCAGCGCCAGACCACCGAACAAGCAGCGCGCGACCACGGAGCCCCCGGCAGACGCGAGGAGCAGCCCTCACGCCGACACCAGCGGCATCTCGGGCTACCGCATTATCCCCGCCTCGGAGCTCGACCTCGCCAGTCCCCTGGGCCAAGGCGAATTCGGACGTGTCCACCAGGCAAGTCGCTGATAACTATTTAGGTAGACACGCGCACACCCACCACCTGTCTGGGGTTTGGGCAAACTTGCTGCGTCCTTTTGCTTTAGATACTTCCTAATTAATGTGCAAGTAGGCATGGCAAGCAGGAAATTGTGGCTGGAGACTCCTGTTCCCATAACCGACAATCAGTTCTAGCTTGAGATTTGGGGTGACGCTCCCGAAGGATGCGGTCCCAAGGCTGACCAGACGCCTGTCTCCAACCTGCTTGCCCCGCAGATGATGTCCGGAGCTGTAGTCGTTGATAATTCGCTCTTAACCGGTGACAGTAGAGATCGTTTTGCCTCCTGGCAGTAATGTCCATGCAGTCGGTGCCCTATTCAGTCAAATATTTTAGGTGCGTCTTCTTGTTCATCGGACCTTTACGTTTCTGTCGGTGAGGTGGTGTTGTTATTGTTTAGCCTTCCCCTAATTGTTTTTCTCCGCCTTTGCTTAGTACACTTTGAACATGGCCTTTGTCTAATTTTTGCACCGAAATTGTCTGTGATTCCTAAGGATTTTTGCTTTGTAGATAAGCTAAAACTAGTACTCTTTTTTTGGAAAAAAAGTGTACTCACAATCTTACTGTTAAACTGGCTTCAACCACCACAATCTACAGCAAACATGACACCCAAGCACGATCAGACACGCCAAACCCGTAACAAAAGAAAACTATTGAAAACGTTCGACAGTGTGTACGCGTCATTCTAAACTGCACATTTAACGACAATAAACAAAGTAAACAGCGAGTATTAAATGACACATGTGTACAACAAATATGCGGACATACCGGTATTGATAAATTCAAAGCGCTTTTCTATTGGGCGAATTGTAAGCAGCGCTCAGTTGAAATCAGAGGTAAAACAAAAATACATCAAGAATAACTTGGCAAATTTAACTCCGGCCTTTGATCGATTTGTCAGTTTTCTCCTCTAACGACTGGTTTACCCATGCTATGCGCTTTCTGTTTACATTTTTCGAGCCACATAAGTACACTGCACAAATCTGATATCACCAACCTGCATACCAGCCTGCCGACAACATGCCCAACGCCGGTTGTGTGCAAGTGTGGACTTATCTGTGCCTCCCGGCTATTTTTCTATCTGTGCTAAATCTGGAGTTTGCTGTGTTCACAAGCCGGGGAGTGAAAAAAATCGCGACTTGACAGAAAAAAGAACGCGCAGTGCATGCCGCATCCGCAGCCAAATGCGTGCATTGGCATCGTCTTCGTAAAACACGGCGTGAGCACTGTGTATGAGACATGTGTCTGCTTCTCCCCAATTAGACGAAGTCTTTTGTTTGAGACTTAGGGCTCCAGTCGAAGCAAACGCACGTTAGATCTGTACCCGCATCTTCCGTCTGAGAAACAACCTACCAGTAGACTTCTTTTTTTTATGACCTGAGATGCAACCAGGTCCCTCTCTGGTTGGGTGTAGATGTGCTTGATTATGTTCTGTCCGCGATTTTGCTCGCGTTGACGGACCTCGTTTGGCTGAGTAATGCGCTGTGAAAATGTGGATCAGAGGATTATAATCGGGTGCCTATTTCGGCTGCTCTTCCTCTCTACAAACTGGCCATGCTATTGCCAGTTCTAGTAACCCCAAGGTCGAATTGAACAATCAACGTGACTCCTCACCCTTAGTAATAACGGGGTTTTAAACTTATGCGGATGTGACACAGCTGTTTGTGTCCTTTACCAACTATGCGCACTGACCTTAAAGCAGCCACAGCAGTCTTGTAGAGGCGCATTCGCTCAGCCCCAAATCTCACTATGCACTCCTCTTTTAGCATCCGTGCCCTCGAGCGATTCGTATAAGCGTCGCATTTTTTGCAGTGAGTCACCAGTGAGGGCAAACATTATTCATCGGAGCGACTCAGTCTGCAGACGCTTGTGTGCAAACATCGAATGGCAGCATTATCTGTACATGAATTTTGTCTTGGTTAAATCGCTGAGCCCTACTTTGTAGGGCTCAAGCCTTCGACACACATAGGGGTTTAATATGCAGCGGCCATTAGTGCTCGCGTGACACTCATTCGAGAGACCCGTTGCCCAGTTTGATGGCCATGACAGTCACTCCATCGTGGGTCGTGTTAAGTCAACGACTGTTGACATTTTACACAGCTCCTTTAATGGGAACAGCTTGAGGACGCAAACCTCCATGATTTTGATCCCTTCGGCTGCAGAATTGCAGTGTGTTGAGTTTTCATTTGATTCTTTATCACCTGTTCTCAGCTGACAACTCCGGCCAGTGTCACTAGCTTCTTATTTCTACATCGAATTTAGTTTTTGTGCGTAAAAATACGCAATGAAACGTTGCTCTTTTCTGGGGTGGAGCATGTGCGTTAGCCCAAGTGGCAAGATTTGTCACTGGCAGGAGAAAACGTCGAAACAGCACGATCGCTTAGTCAACTTCTCTGTGAACGTGATCTGGGGAATTGGGTTCCTCGGGGGTGTAATACTAGTGAGCGGAGGCTGACTCATCTACAGCCGACGGTGCGCCGGCTTGCGTTTCTCCACCCGTGTGACTGTGTTTATGTTTGACCTTTATGCGTAATGCTGGTTCACGTTGGCCAGCCAGTCACGTAGGCTCTACGCCTATTTGGTCCTGGGAAAGATAGCACACGAACTCCACCAGCCTTGCTTAACACATGACAGTTAAATCGGCAATTCTACCCCACGACTTCTATCGTGGTTGTTACCTCTTGTAATTAAATCTACCCATTCGCTAGGTGTGTCAGAGGTTGGGTTCTAGTCTGTCAACTCTCCGCCTTCGAATCCGAGGTAAAAGTGCTTGCAGCACTAGCTCCTGTGTGTGGCTGTCTTGACAATCCGGCAATAAAGCAGTCCCAAATGTCTCATCATGTTCCCTGCCGTAGTCCTTGTTCAGTTTTTCGGTAATTTTTCTATTCAATTTTAATGGGGAAATCTAGTAGGCAAGATTTTAAACAGGGAAATTTGTTTCGCGTCCTTTGATCTAGTCTAGGTAGTCTCAAGTATGCATCTCACCACTCGGATCCCGCGTCTGTCGTTTCCTTTCTTGCTTAAGCACTGTCCTGGCGTGTTTAGAGCGCTATTGACGGTGCCAAATCACACTTTTGTGTGTTTTGATAAAACGCTTTTTACGTAATCTCCAAACTCGGTACTTTTCAAAATAATCCTCAATTCTGCCGAAGCAGGTATTTTGGTTGAATAATACTTCCTGAGATTAAGCTCCTCTGTCTGCACATTATTTGACGTTCGGAGTCTGGAGGCGCCTTTGACGTTTACCCTTTTTCTCATTCGTGGCCTGGTTTGATTGTTGCATCTGTGGTGTCGCGCAATGAGCAATGCTCTTCTGACTCGCCCACGGCAACGTGATTGGACTGCTCTTTCGCCGGCGAGTGCGCGCTGCCGCCCTCCTTCCGGTGCATCTTACGTCACCACGGCCCCTCAACCAATCCAAATCAAGCAGGTAGGCTGGCTTGGTTGCGCGGGCGTCACACGCCGAGCGAGACTGGCCGCATGCAAATTCACCTCCCACCTCCGCCCCACCTCTTACTCATCGGCCAGGCGCTCCTCCAAGTCCACACGTGTTTGCTCAAATAACAAGAGAGACAAGACGCCGACCCGCAACTGTGGCACCCGCGCACCCGCGCACGCACACACGCACGCACATCAAGCCCTGTTCACAGTCCGATGTTGAATTACTGCAAACTGTCGGGAATCACACTTCTTGGAGTTGAGGAGCGCTTAAATTTGCTCCAAAAGTAAAAAAAAAGAATGATAGCACGTACATTATTGTTATCGCGCAAGTGCCTCGATATGCACCTTAATTTGCCTCGCGTTTTATGTCTTTCGTAACGCCACGTCATTCCGATTGTTGAGAGCAGTCGGCTGACTGCAATACACGCACTTCGTTTCCCTAGTGGAGGGGGGAAGGTTACACACCGGCAGATTGCTTGTTTTAATCCATGCCACAAATATGCCACACACACACACAAGGTAAATTTTCGAAGATGTTGTGTCCAAACGAGATTTGCTCCAAATTATCAGAAACTGACTGTGATGTCACCCAGTTTGACATATGAATATTGCACATTTCTCTCTTGCTGGACTTGACATTCTTGTTTGGTAGTCTACAATTGTTCCTCAACAGTTCAGTTTTCAATGCCAATAATACTTATTTGCACGGGGAGCCCGTCACTGCCATGCATTAATCCGCCGAGGCAGCCGAAGCCGTGTTGCCAGGGTGTCAAGCACAGCTTCGGACAGGTGCACGCCCACCATCGCCACGGCGGGCGTCGTGTGTCCCGAAGGTCATCTCCCGCCCTCGGCAGTCAGTCTGCAGATCTGAGTCATCCCCACCCCCTCCTCGTCCCGTTTCCCTTACAGCCGGGATTGGGCCAACTGCCGCGCGCTTACATGCTTCCTTATTGCTGTTACCGGTTATCCTCAGTGGTTAATTTATAACCCTCCGGAGGTAGTTTCCGCTTCTCCCGGCAATTTAACGTCCTGCGTGTGTGTGTGTGTGTGTCTGGTCTTGTTTGTAAGCTAGATACCCCAGCGGCATGCCAGTTGGTGACGCGAAAGCATGATTTACCAAACCCCGACTCCGTAACTACACTTTCAGACTTTGATGTCGATTTCCCGGCGAGCGTAATGCTTTCACTTTCATTTATTGCGTAATAAAAACAAACAAACAAAGACTTGTGCAACCACAATGACTCAGCGCTGTGAATGACTTGACTTGGCCTGATATCAAGTCACCTACTTTTTGTCCGGTTAAATTCTCAACGACATGTCAGAGGCATCAGTCTAAGCAAGGCCTGCATGTACCGATACTTTAGTCCTTTCCACTAGTTGTGGTTTTTGTTGCAAGCCTGACCACTCCACGGGAATCTTCTTAATATACGTCCCGCTGATTTGCGATATCTCCATACGCATATTTTCATTTCTTAGCTAAAATAATTCTAACGAACGAAAACCATTAGCACAAATATCGGTTTAAGCCGAACATTTAAGGCTATTAAATCAGAATAAGTTAAGAACAGTAACGATTACTTTAAAGTGTTAGCGAGCCAATAGATTTCCTTTCCGATCTGGACAACGTGACCTCATACTCGTCGCCTTAGTGGCTTACTCTGGACGTGCTACCTCAAACATGTTTTGTAGTAACTTAACTATTCCTCAAATCTACTGATATAGCAATCGGGATATTTGTAATGGTAGGACTGGTCATACAAACGATTGCGTTGTAGAGATTGTAGAACACCAATGTGAGATGGTGACCAATTCAAAACCCTTCCTCTAGTCACTTTCCTACCTACTTAGTGGCACATTTGACAGCACAATCAGTCCCTTGTGCCTTAAAGGCAGTGCCGGGCGAATGGAGACTGCGCAATTGCCTCAATCTGAGGAGCAAGCGTGGCTCATGGCAAAAAATACGCTTGCTCGATACTAAAGTTTGTTAAGCGGTTGCGCCTTGGGCCAACCAAACTACTAATGCATCCTGTTGATGCTGTCAGCAACAAGTCATTGCGCAAATCTGCGCAGGTTCTAGTTTAGACGGCCATGAAGTGTAGTGTCGTCGCTAAGTGCCCACTTTGTGCACATTCTGTGCCGCCTTGGTCTGTAATAGCAACGTAGGTTGATTGTGCCTGTGTTCCCCGGACTTTTAATTACCCTCCAATTAATGAGACACTGAAATGACTTTTTCCCTTACTGGTGTCGATCAAACGAGCCCCTATTCTGCCTACTGTCATTCATTTCCACTGTAGGCATGAAACCCACCAAAAGTTATTCTTATACACCGGCCGCAACGCAAATAGAACACAAATTGTGCGTATTGGCCAAAATTAAATAAAACTCACGCGCAATCACTAAGTTGACTGCTAATTCTAACCTCATTCCCTCTGAAACATGTCTACCTCATTTCCTACCCGTTTAGTTCCACTTATCGACGACAGCGTTTTGCGCCGTTCACATCACGTAACAATAACAAGTGATGATTTTTCAGTGGCATTAGGTGCCGGCCATGTTCGATGAATCACCCCAAATGCTGTTCTTTTTCAGTTGCTGACATTGCGTCGTGACTGCAATCCGTGTAAGCCTCCTTTCCTTACCTCACGTGCACCCGTCCCCTAGTTATTCTCTCTCCCCTTGCTTGCGACGTAGAGGCTATTGGAACCGGTTAAAGCAGAGATCCGCCATTGACATGAATCGCACCGGGATCTCAGCAGATCGTGAACCTTTCAACTAGAAATTTGTAGCTTGTCTGCCACATCGTATTTCTCGTTCGTACCCGGCCACATCCGTTCGTAATTCTTGAACCACCACTCTTGCCACATTCTTGTTCACGAAGGCACTTGAGGGTACCTTAATGACTTGAGAAGCCGTAGGCCAAAGTACAATGGCATTGTGCAGGCGTCATCATATCCTGAGTCCACATCATTCACCGACGGTGTGCGAGTCCTCATTCCAATTTACATTTCAACTGGGTTGGCTAATGGGCGTTATGAGTTTGTAAAGTTGCATTTCAGCCGTCTTGTTTTGCTATTCTCCGTTCCAATAACCACTTTACTTGGCTTCCCTAGCATTCTACCACACTTCCACCTAACCAGGCATCCGCTTGACAGATTTCTAGTTTAAGTAGCCGTTAGGCATGAATTCGCTTCACTGTTCAACTAAGTCGCATCGTCCACTTGTGCATTGAACGTGTAGCTCCAGGCGAATAAGTTGTGCCAACCTAGGTGGTAATTAGCACTGGTCTCCTGTCGGATTCACCTTCACATTGGAGCCGCATCCGACGCACTGTGTCAACTCCTTCATCGATTGATTTTTTCTTCTTTCGGAAAACGGACAACTGCATGCGCATCGTTGGTTGGATGCCTTGCCTTTCAATCACATAACTCTGAAAGGGCCAAACGGTTCAAACTACACCTTCACTGTTCATGTTTAGTTACTCGAATTGACCCTACCCGCAAATTTTTAAATCTGCAAACATGTGCTTTTCAAACGATCGTGTTCTCGTAACTTGACTGTTGATCTGAAAGAGAGTACTTGAAGTTTACTTTACGCGTCTTTCAAGTTTGGATTATTGACATGGAAATGTATGCAAATTATTCTGTCAATGGAGGCTTTTAGGCATAATTTCAAGACACCAGTTGGGTCACTCTTGCCAAAAGTTCTTATTGGATAGCCCTAACCTGAAAATGTTTTCAGACTTACACCTGTATTTTAATGCCGAGTTATACAGTCTGAGCGCATGATTGTAATGGCGGATGTTAGGCTATGCTGTGAATCCTTTGGCTCGAGTAGAAGTTTTATTTGCCAAATTAATTTGCCTTGCTGAGTCACCACCTCTAACTGGTTTAAGTCAGTCTGATTTTCTACAAAACTAAAGCTTTTTCTGGCAATTTTTAACACAAAAAATGAATTTGCTGCCCATACATGTCGTTGGCGTATATGAGAATTGCCGTTCTTGGGATTTTGCAGCTATTTTGAGTTGCCTCCATCCTCGCGCTGCCTCCAGCATTCCCTATTTTAATTGTGTCGGGCGACACCTTTACCACAAGGTCTCTACTGAAATCCGTTAAGTACAATTATATTGACAGCAAACATGGGTCCTGCTACCATAACATTAATCGATCCTCACGCTTGGTTTTGCCTGTAGGGATTGTGGCGACCCTCCTCCATGGGCAGACAACTGCAGGTGGCTGTAAAGATCCTCGACTTGGATCGATTTCCAACGAAAACGGAAGACTTTCTGAAGGAGGCCGCAATCATGAACAATCTCGATCATCCCGACATCGTGCGGTTGTATGGCGTTTGCGTTGCTCCAAAGTGTCTGAGGCTGGTACGAGGACGTTTAGTATTACCTTTAAACGCCGTCCCCATGTCTCCTCACCAACTTGTTTATTTGATTTCGAGTGTTACACATGCTTTCCGATAGGTCCTCTAAATCCATATTGTTCCTTATTCGGCTATAGAGTTAAGAAGGCTTTAACGAATTTTGGGGCATCGTGTCTATTAATTATCCAGCGCCTGCTATTACTTATTATCAAATATCAGTAGTAATTCTTGTGCACACTTGGGATTTCCCCTTATTTTCAAGGTGACCGAGCTTGCGCCTCTGCGATCGCTACTCGAGTGTCTGCGCGAGCCCGACCTGCGCACCTCGTTTCCCGTCTCGACGTTGCACAACTTCGCCGTCCAGATTGCTCGTGGCATGTCCTACCTGGAGGAGGAACGACTCGTTCATCGCGACCTCGCCGCTCGCAACATCCTCGTTTTCGCCAAGGACAAAGTACGTTTCTTCGGCTGGCTTATCTGTGAATCACACTACCGACATTCCCGACATCGAACGCTACATTCTCTCCTCTGAGTGTCTTTATTTGTGGCTTGTGTGGACTGAAGATTTAGCGAGCATTAACCAGACTTAACTTGACAGAAAACGGGTAGTTGGGGTAATCAGCATGTCCAACCTGGAACACGAGAATCGCGTTATGCTTTACCTACCAGCGACTTGAGGTGTTGCTGAAGCATCGAGTTTTATGTGTGTATGCATCACTCTGTTCAAAATGACCTTGCCACTTGAACAAAAAACAATTCAGCGCGTTTACTAATCCTGTTTTCGCGCAACGGTCCGACATCACAGACGCCGTCGTGGTGATATCACACCTCAAGTGATTTTCCCCTATCTTGACGTTTGGTAACACCGCTCCTGACAGCTCTCGTTAGTAGTTCTTTGCGTTGGTAGTGTTACCGTAATGTCCAAGTAAATCTCGCGTAGGCGAGTTTTAAATTAAATTAGAGCAGTTGCAACAGAATACCGAATGAGAGGTTCGATGACCTTCCATGTCCCTCGCTACCAATCTCCTTTGTCATATCCGGAAGCAGCCCACTCTAACGGGTTTAATTGATATCAGCCGTGAAACCTATTGTGTGAACCACCTGTCGTGTTGCTTTGAGGTTAGAACGAGGGGAAATCGTACCAGCCATCACACACGAGGCATCGCGTCACCTGAGTTGTGTTGTTCCAACCTGCAGCAGGCGACTTGCCTTTGTCTGTGTTGTCGTTTTATCGATTGCCATAATGACTTCCGGCCACCAAATTTTCCTTCTGTGGACGGATAATGCAAGATGTTTACAACCAAATGTGGCATTTCGCTTGCAGCCTTGATCGGACAGCTTTGGATTAGGACAGTTAGCTCTCGAAAGCCCTGTGTTCTGCCAGCACCGCACTACTTATCAGCGTCGGTAATCGCTACCTTCTTCCTCAGTGAACTTCGTTTAATGAATGTTTTGGAAGTACGACGATCTTGGCAATTCTCAATTTTTAGGGCACTGCCCTGTGAATACGCGGACGCACATATTCCCGATATCTTACATGACGGCTATCTTGGAAATCCCGGAAGCAATAACCAAAAGTGTTCCTGTGGGTCTCTGTGCAATTAACTCCCGCAGTAAATGTCTTTGAGGCCAAATAGCATGTTGTGGGCCCTAGCATGTGGTACTGAACCACGCTAGGGCCACGGAATTAACCATTCCTCGATTACTCTTGCCTAATACCCGCGATAAAGAAAACGATTGAAGAGGACGCGGACGCAACCGTTTACTTCAGAGCTCAAACACGTTGGTGTCGTTGTTTCGTGTGTATTTATACCTCGGATATGTTAGTTAAACATGCTCTAACATCGAGACCTAAGTGTGAGGATAATCCAGGATCAATATCCGTGTGAATGAGATGGAAGTTGAGGATCCGCGCGGCTGGTGCCTTGCTGCGAAAAGGGGGACCCCGTGTCGGAGGCGGAGCAACCGGATTAAGGGGTGTGAATAAACACGATTCACAGCAAGCACTTTTGTTGACCTGTTGTAACTGCATTAGGTGAAGATTGGTGACTTCGGACTGAGCCGAGCCCTGCAATTGGGCAAGTCGTACTACCAGACCAACTTCAACGCCAACCTTCGTCTGCCCATCGCGTGGTGTGCCCTCGAGGCCATCCACGACCTGCGCTTCACCAGTGCTAGCGACGTTTGGTCTTACGGTGTGACGCTGTGGGAGATGTTCACCTACGGTTTCGTGCCCTGGGCCGGTCTCTCGGGCAAGCAGATTCTTGAGGCGGTCGACGTGCCGAATTCCCGGCGATTGGCACAGCCCGACGCCTGTCCTGACGCCGTCTTTGATGCGGTTATGCGCGCCTGCTGGAACCACGAGCCCAATTCGAGGCCCACCTTTGCCCAGTTAACAGGTAAACCACTATCTTTGCCTTGCGCTCCCTGTTGCCTGACATGCTCAAGAGCACCGCTAGCCTCGTGTTTGATTTCGAATTAATCCCATGCGTTCTCAAGTTGTTTCATGAATTTATCGACATGCCTCATCGCTGTTCCATCATAAAACACCAGATGGTAATCGCCCATCGTCTTTAGCAATCACTAAGCACTGGTAGTCTGTTGGTGTATCTAAATGGGAGCCCATTTTTATTGCAGAAATGTTGCCTCACTTGAGTCCGCAAGCCTGGTCTGTTGTGGAAGATAGCCTGAAGACGGAAAGCTCACCACCGAAAATCGTGAACGACATTCGGCCTTTCCTAACGGAAAATGGAAGTCATGAAGCCGATGCTCCTGACGTCGACAATCAGCCATCCAAGTCCCTGTTGAAAGTCCGAGCCGGCGAGACTGTTTATGTTTTGAGCAAAAAGTAAGTCTCGACTATTTCCGTATATTTATTTGTCTGCCTGCAGCATCCCCATTGGCATCACAGCTTCGTTAGCACAAACGCAAGTCACTTCATTAAGGCTGCACTTTTTGTTGTGGCGGCCAACAAATCATCACATGGTCTACAGGAAAGGGAATGCGCGTTAGGCCACCTTGATCTGGCTACGAAAATGCCCACTTTTACCAAGCCCTTCAATTGTCAGCTGGTTCACTTCTGGCTTCCATCTTGACCAATGATGATGCATTGGTTTTTTTTCGACTTCCTTGTCCTCATCGTTTTGAGAATTCTTTCACCAATGGACTATTACACTCGTAAACATATCACTAATTAATTTGTGCTGAATATCTGTTGCATTAACATTTAAATTAAACCCAAATTGTCTTAAAATGTCACACAAGGCCATCAATCTACCAGAAGTCACCTTGTACTTGTCCACCAGAGTACTTACTAGTTTTGTTTTAAATTCAATTGGTCAGAAGGTAGTCTTCTGTTGCCATATTGAGGAATCTGTTTGGGACCAATAATAGTTGATAATCACGTGTATGCTTGTCTTCGTCTCCATCAGTAGAAACTGACGAAGGATTTGCAAGGGATTGGGGTCATTTTAAATGTCCCTCCAGTCGCTTCCGGGCCACAAGCTGGTCCTCGTGTTTTTCCTCGTCACGTCTTCTCGTGTCTACGCTTGTTCCCTGTCTGTTTAAAAGCAGATCACGAGACCTTTTAGCACCCACTGCATGACTCGCGTTCCGCGTGTTCGCGATTATTTCCTGTCCGATCCTTCGTAAAAATAAATTAGGAATAAATCTTCTCACTTCTGGAACCAACGCATCTTGTAGGAACCCCGAGCTGTGGAAGGTGGTGTCACACTCAACCTGCCAGGTCGGTTATGTTCCCCCAGAGAATCTGCGCATTGTGTCTACCACTGTCCCTTCCTCCCAGCGAACACCGGGTCCCCACCACCACCACCATACCTCCGGTGGAACTCTCTCCCGCATGCGCTTGCGCTTCAGCCGAAGAGGTTAGCTGTCTCATAGATTTGCATTTTAGTCGGGAACGGGTGCACGACATCAGCAGTCTGTTTCGTGTGCACCTCAGTCTGGGTTCCATGTAGCAATAAGTCCGAACCCCACCCCCGTGCTACGTCTATCGTGAAGAAAAGGCCGGTATCGGTGCGTAGTTGCCTCGTTCCCTAATTTCATCACCTGTCCTAAGGCGGTGTAGAAGCAAGCCATTCTCTGCTCAGGCACGCAAAACCCCTAACAACCCGAGTACCGACTGGAGTCATTAATTGTCTCCTTTGGCTGTGTTACCTGGATGCATTAATTACAGTCTGGGTTTTGTTCCAGGCCCAATACTGTCGTTCTACCTTCACATAACATTAAAGCTCCATGAGTTAGGGACCTTAGATCTATAATCACAGCTCACGTTATCCCGTTGTTATTTATTTAACAATATCAACAACCCACAATCTTGTAGGGGTCCTATTATTCGTAATGAAAATAGTTGGAATAAGACATTGAATGCGGACTGGTCATTGTTATAAGGGGAAAGGAGAGGTTGTGTGTGTGTGCGTGCCTGCGTGGACGCATCTTGCGCCCTACTAACTTGCAAATCCTCCAGGGTCTGAGGCCAATCTACCGGACATCGGCCGTGAGTCTGCATGCACAGTTGGAACCCCCATTACTGGTCCTAAAGCCAAATTGTAGTTTGCCAATTTTAGCATTCTGGTTTGCGTTTTCCCACATCCCTACGTTTTTCGCACCTTTTGCACCTGCAAGACGGGTAAATCAGCATCCGCGTGTCCTCTCGCATGATTGCAGTTAGAATGGACCAAATCACGCCCTCTTTACCACTCATTATTTGCTTATTTTTTTGGTAAAATAAGTAACACAAAACTTGCGTGTTCAGTGCGTGAACACGCAAACAGAAGCTTTTGCATTTTTGTTCGGATTACGAACCGCGCGTCAACCATTTTTTAGCTGAACTCAGATGCAGGCAAGTAGCTTTACCTGTTGATAGTTTCTCTTGTTCATCAGTTCGGTGAAACCTCTTCTTCGAAAGTGGACATTAACAAAGGTAGAAACGAGTCTTCTACGCTTATTTTACAGTTCTGGTTGAAGTACATCATGATTTCTAAGTTGTAGTTTGACAAACGCTTTATCCGTGTTTTCTCACTCCTTTATTTACAGGGTTCATGTCAATTTAAGAGCGTAGAAATACCGCAATGAAAGCTCGTTTATTATATTTCATGTTTGACACCTCCGGTCAAAAACAACTTTGTCTGTTGGAATGCTTGGACATGGGGTAAACGCAATTTGTGCATAGCTGGTCCTAGCAAACTTTTGTTCGGTGTAGAAGTCACAACTTATTTCAACTGCCTGGTTTCCAAGACCAAATCGTGACCAAAAAGTAGAACATCAGATCGGCTATTTTTTGGTGTCATTTTTGCATCTAAACTACCGCATTGTTAAATAGCCCGTCGTTACATCGAACCGTGCTTTATCGGACTAAATTGCATCGCACAGACAAACAGCGGATTGACAGGGCTGGCCAGCCAAATTCGAGTCCCGTTAATAAGCGCATTTTGAATGGTTGGTGAAACGCTTGCGGGGTTTAGTCATCTGAGGTTGCTGCCGCGAGACGCAGACTGTATTTGCTCCTGTGTTCGTTAGATAAAAAATTCCCAGGCAAAGCATCTAGCGCTTGTTTACACAAGACCAGCGTGATGGCGCAGGCTCGCGTGTAGCACAAGTCGCATTTTGAGTTTGGCCAGTCTGTTTTGTCCCTTTTTTTTATCATATTCACCTGACCCAGCCCCGTGCAATCGCCGTCATTTTTGTGCAGTTCGCCTGAACTGCACTGCACGTTAAAAATGCGTTTTTTAATTTGTTAGTAGAAGTGCCTCCTAATAGCAAGTAGGTAGCTGATGGCGACTGGATATTAAACTAGCGCTGATCGCACCACAAGGTTATTGAAGAAAGGGTTTGATGTTGTTGTTCAATTCGGTAAACACATTAGTAATGACTAGGTATAAATTTTTTATATGCGGAGGTGACACTAGCCTGATCTTAAATATTTCTGCCTTCTTAAATGGTTAGGAATATGAAACTACCTTTCTGGAAGCGGTGGGAATGTACTTCAAGGTGAACGACATTCTTAAATGTTAGAAATACTCAGAGACTTCAACTTAATTAAGCAGCTTGAGAGCATCGTGAAAGCGGCCAAGTGTGTTGTACTCAATGGTAGAATGTGCAAATCTTGCACTTTGTGATCCGGTTATGATCCCAGTAAATCAACGGAGGTACCTCAACTGTCCCAACTGGCTACAATTCCTCTCAGACAACAGGCGCAAAAGAAAACATGGGCTAAGTACCCTCGCTCCAGAAATGACGTTCACATGTTTCAAACCTAAATCCACGTGGTCTCGTTTTCTTGTCTTCCTTTTCTCTGTGGTTTGATCTAGTTGTTAATTTCGTTTTGTTGCCTTTCTTCAAAGGCGTGTTTTTGCCAACCTTAATTCAGCCTTTTTTTACAAAATTTGTTTTCACCGTTTCTCGCATTCAAAATTTCGGTTGGAGTGACTCTTGCTGGAGTCTCGTGTCAATGCTAATTCAGTCTCTTTGGACGCACGAATGCAGCAGGGTGAATGGTCGCTTTTGCTTGGCGGAGTTTTCGTGCATTTGCATTTAAACACTGTAATCTACCGCATGGATGCAAGGATTCGTTCTCATACTACCACAGCGTCTTTGCAGACACTGAGTTCTCCCGCCCAAAGGCCAATTAATGGTCAGGTCAGGTTCTTAAAGCGTTTTTTTTTCCAAGCTGAAAAATCACAAACCTTAACAAAGCCAATGAAACGACAATAGCGTCGGAGGGTGACCTTCTGAAATGCGTGCATGCGGATATGCAAGGTGTTTTCGATGACCTATTCGTAATACGCCCACTCATGTTCTCTCTTCCGCCATGTAGTTACACTATACGGAAAGTGGAGACTAGGAGCGTTCACACATTTTGTCGGCGTCATCCAAAACAAGTGGCAGTAAATCACGAAGTTGCATTTTCACCTTATGCAGACTGCTACTACCACTATATAAAATATTGCCTGCCCTTAACACTCTGATTTTATGCTAACACAATAGAATATTAATAATCAATGTGCTCGTTTGATCTGGTGTCCTGCTCGCCACACGAAGTGGAGGGGACTATCTGATCTGCAAAATTTTTGTCTTTTTGACTAAGCGGTCGGTCCAAAGTAGTGTGCACTTTTTCTAACCAACACCGTCAAATCCAAGCAAAAGTTGCAGTGAAATTGAAGTGATCTTTGGTCTTCTACAGCACTTGCCTTATGCTTTACCTTATTACTACATCTAACCTCTTTTTTTAAATCATTTTCTTGGTTTGCTGGTTCAAGACGTTGATATACACGTGTAGGCAATGGTGTTATTACCGCCAGTGTTATCTGATCTTCGCCTGTAGAATCAAATCGCGGCTCACCCAGGGGTCCAATGAGACTCAATCGGGATTTGATATCGTTGCCACAGAACGACTTCCGTCATGTCGGACACGTGGGTGCCGATGGAACTGTCTTCGGCGACGTCGGGTTTTCTCTTGAAGACGTGGAAGGCGGTAAGAGGGGTAAGCATGTGTTTTGGTTTCACGGCCACGGCGTTGCATGTTGCGGTGTTTACGCGTCCTTCGTAGATCGACGATGTACAGCCCGAGTCTAGTTTTGGCACACAATCTCGGTGCACAGGGATCATCAGTACTGTGCTCTCGGATATTGGAATTGAGCTCTGTGGGGGTTCATTCCACGTGACTCCTATTCGCTGTCCACGATTGAGCAATTTGGGAATGTGATTAAACAGCGGCAACTGTGCCCACCTACCTCTGATTCACGCCCAGGCCTGTAGCCCACGTCTGCCCGTTTGTGCCCACTGAGGCGTGTGGTGTGCGTCCACTCGGAAAGAATCCTTTACGGCTATAAATTAATTAAACGCGCTAATAGTGCACGATGATGTTAACTCCCTTGATTATCCCTACCAGAAAATGTTGACTAGCAAAAATCGTGCTCGGATTTCATCAGAATGCTTGACTTAATGTTTCTTACCACTTTACGTGGTAGCGACAGGGCACGACGATGCGTTTTAACATCACAATTAATGAGATGTCTCTTTTTCATCGTAGGGCGTTCACAAGAAATAATTAACTTCGATTTTTGCTCTCCCAATAAACGTGGGTATGGGGTAAAAGTGCACTTGGCATCGCGCAACCCCTTAGTGTAGACAAGAAGCGCAAGCCTGATTGGCTAATCTCTGGTTTATTGTCCGAGCATGGAATCAGGTTTTTGAGTCATTTTCGGCTAACTCCTACACTCGTCCGTGGAATCGTCAACATCTCACTACAACCCATCTCTGTAATAACAAGCAACAACCCGTTTCGAATACGAATGGTACTTCCACAATTCGACCTTTGTCCAAGGGAGTCCTTGGGACTTACGGATTATCTGTACTGTCCCATTGTCCAGGCTTTGACGACAATGGATATTTAAAGTGAATAATCGCGTTGTGAGCGTCGCAACAGGGATAATAATTAGGAATCCCATCAGTGACGTTATTGTTTATATCTTAATGTGCGCAGTTACCCTCTTAGTTTGAAATCGCCTTAGATATTAACCTAGGTCGGATTGTTATATTGGACGTAAGTCTCAGGAATTTCATTTACTGAATTTGATGTACTGCAGACAGTTGTTTAAATTATTCCACACGAGCACAATCCGTTGACTAATCGATTGCTGGCGCTGTATTCGGATGGGGCATTTTGAGGCAGAAATGTCATGGAGATCGCAGATCTGGTCCACCGAAATCCAACATGGCCTCTTTCTAGTTTGCACTTGGCTTTGCGGCGCCACCTGCATGCGATAGCCACCCTCCACAGGACAAGAAAAATTGTCTTAACGCTGTGGCGTTCTAATTGTTACCCTACACTCTCAACTGGGTAGGATTTAAATTCATGGAAAATGGTGGGTTTGTGGGCAATCTTGCTTGGTCTTTGATTAGCCGCATTCTTATCACCTGTAGTTTTTAATAACGTTAAGTGCCAGTCCGAATTAGCCGGTTTTAACTGACCGCGTGTTCCTTTTTCTGTTTTTCTCATGGAGTGAATTAATTGCAGGGAAATCCCGATGCCAGATGGAACATTTTGCCCGTTTTTTAATGGCTTCGAAGAGCCAATGACTTGACCCCGGCAAGCAAATCTGTGCACGGATTACACGGTGTTGATACAGTTGCAGAGCGCGTACATCAATGTTAGTCCTCGCAATGCCGTTCTGCTGTGTCTACGTTAGTAGCTCCGTTTGTAGCAGCGTAAAAACAGGCCATAAATATTTTTTTTCGAAATAATTTCAAGTGTCGCATTGCTAAAGTCTGAACCAGAATCTGTGTTGATTTTGGCACCATAATGTGGTTCTGAAAACGGAAGACACGTCAACAGCTGTCTGCTCTGGTAACGCACCAGAGGCTAAATCTGTTGGTCTATCTGACGGGATCTGCGGATCTGTCTTCCACTGGAATTCAGGTCACTCCAATTGGTGGCATGCTAATAGTCGCGAACGGTTCCACAGACATTTGGTGGTGAAGCAGATCGAGGTTGGGAATTCTGTGTTAGCTGACTTGATGGCCGTTCATTGCGTCTGGAGACGCGTAAGTTGACTCACATCTAGTAGACATGTCCAACAGAAATTTTTGGATCGACTATGTTTACTCGCACGGTGTAACGATTTCACGATCTGCACTTCGATGAAGCGTCAGGGTAAACAAACAATTTTGGTTTCATTAAGAAATGATTCATTTGTATTAATAACTTGTTCGTGGTTTGCGAATTTCAGATTCCAGCCCTACTGACAGCTGCCTGACCATTGAAAGCACATCGGACAAGGAAAATCCTCGTCTTTCTGACCTCACTATTAACGAGGTAATTCACTCGAAGCCTACATTTACCAGTTTTTTTTTCAATCCCTGGAAAAACTGCGTAACTGTGGTGTCATGGTTATTGTTTCTTTCACGGCGGTTTCTGTATTTTTTACTTTACTGACAGCTCCCTTTTTGCATCCAACTCGTTTGTTCCTCACTTGGATTGGCCGAGACAGCCAATAACCAGCCGGTATTTAAAACTGTGGCTGGGTTGAGGCGTGGTTGTTTACCTCTTCGTTCGTACAGATGAAATCTCTTTTTCTGAATGAAGCATATCGATTGGAAATTTGCTGACTCCTGCTTTCGTCTGCGTGTGCTCCTCTCCCTACCTCTCAGTCCTATTTGACTCTTGTGATTCGACTTGAGGCCTTGGTACCCTTCTGCTAATGATTTCGTTTTGTTTCAACTAAATCTGACTGACCTCGTCATCGTAGGTCATTTTCAAGTTCCCATCATACATTGCCAGATTCGTATGTCTTGTTGCTTTGGGTTAACTCTTTTGCGCATTCTTGCACAAAGTGTTAACGCTGTGCTTAAAGCCCTTCGAATCAGCCTTCTGCAAAATTCGTAGAAACTTCTCTGAGTGATTACGCGTCGTCTTTTACTCGGGCAAATGCCACTGTGACTCAAGGGTGTTTCTGGCACGTTAACTTCTGGTTCTAATCCTGGAGTGCTCCTAAGCGTGACCTTTCAAAGACCTGTCGGGTTAGTTGCTGTGTCCCCTTGATATCGCCTGGACTGACACATTCGCGCCTTTTCGATTGGTAGGCGATTGTGTGTGTGTGTGTGTGTGTGTGCATGCTTTGCGTCGATGCCATTTCGTTAAATTAATGGCTGCATGAACATGTGTGTATTCATCATCATCCTAAGTGAATCACTTGGCCATTTGGATTCTGGCAGATGCTGTTTCTCTCTGTAAGTCTGTTCCGCTTCAAAATTTTTTTGTATTCGATTTTTGCCACTCAAACTTTGAGAAGTAGGACTCATATTTTCCTAATTTCCCCTTTTTCCGATTAGTCCACAAGAAAATAGCGTCCAATTGAGATGTTTTAGTTGGGTGGCTCGAGGCTTCAGGTCAAGTTATTCCTCACCCACTAGGCGTAGCGGTCCAATTAAGCTAAAGTGCACACCTAAGTGACACCAGATGATGGTTCTTGTCAACTGGTCATAGGGTTTAAACAGAAACGACGCCATCGATTTTGGCGGAGCTCTACAACCCGTTCGGATTTCTTTAAATTACGAAATGTTGGATATAAAATGACATCAAGTTTTTTGGCAACGTAGGAAATCTGCCTGACCACGTGACATTGTTGGTGTGGTCCCTCTCTGAGGTGAACAAGTATGGAAACCTGGAATGCATCGGCAAATTCTGTTTCTTTGGCACCAAGTCCAATAGAAGTGCCCAGGTTTGTCTAAGCTCACACCGCCTGCGACACGTTTGCAAGATTTTCTTCTCTATTGCTTCAATTAGCGTTCGGTAGCCCAAAATAATGACCCATTCACCTCTCGTTTCACCATCCGCTCCACGAGGTTTTCGGTTCCACATGACCGATGCTTACTTAACCACTTCAGACGAACTTCTGTGTGCATCTGTAGCAATCACGTGAGGGGAGTGCTTAGCGGTTTCCTGATGGAAGGCATCACGCCTTTTAAAGAAATCTAATCGAAATGAACAGGCATGCAATCACTGTTGAATTGACATTTTCCTGGGTTAATACCCCCTGACCGAAGCGGCACTCCTGTTGAACGTCCACTCACTTCTATCCCCTTTGATGTCTCCTTTTTGCCACTTTTAACTTTCGTGGTCTCCGTTGTAAATGCCCGCAGTTATAAACTTTGTCTTTACACAGTTCATGTTTTATGCACGCAGAAACTCAACTGTTTTTTGAACTGTGGTAATAATCTTCATTTATGGAAGTAGTGCAAGCAAGAAATATCGGTTTTGTTTTACTGTTAAAAATGTAACCACATTTTTCCGAGTCACGGGTATTATCCAATATAATAATTTTTGTGCTGTTCCGCACTGGTGTCGTAATTTCTTGTCTATCTTACTCCTGTCATGAATCATACCAAAAAGCGAATAGTGTTAAAAAAACTGCCATATAACTCAGCGGTTGACCGCTTAATATTCACTGAGGCGGTCCTGTTTTAGCATTGAATTTTCCGTGTTACAACGTACTGATTGGCCTAGCGAGAAGTGTGGGGTTTGAATTGGACATAGCGCATGTTAAAGCTACTGGTGGACAGAATCGTTTGTGTCAGGTCAACCCTATCGACTAAATATTCAAGTATTTAAAAGAGCAAGTGTTTGAATTTGGGGTTGTCTGTTGTGGGGAAGGGGAAACAGTTGGCGCCGAACTTACTAAACGCAACTTCCCTATCATTGACAACAGCAGCGCGCAAGCCGTGGCTCACCGGTTGCCTACGATCGGGTGAAGGCGTTGCCTTCTCATCCTGAAACGTGCACCCCTCCACCTCTGAGGTCCCCATCGGAAAACAGTCGGATCGCCGAAAAACCGTGTTCCGCTACTCAACCTCCTCCTTCCTCTACCCCTGCCGCACCTCCTTCGTGGTTCTCCACCTCTAATGATGCGGCAAATGGTTGTGAAGCCTCGGTCAGTCAATTCCACCTAATTGCGTTTCGCATTATTGATAGATTTTTAGTCTAGTTTTGTATGTATTTATGCATCGGATGACTACCCCTTTCTCACTATCCCGTGGAACCTGTTAGCCACTTATGTACTTAAAGGGAGGTTGCATCGGGTGCATTCTTCGGACTGATCTGTTATAAGTTGCGTTTCTTTCGTCTTGCCTCACTATATGAAATTTATGTGTGAATGTTTTCGATCCTCAACCTGAATGGGCATCTGGTGTGATTCCTTATGTGGACTTTGTCTCCATCCAGACCAGCGCAGTCTCCTTGGTCTGTACACAAGAGGCTATTTAGGCACATCGCGTTTATTTAATTGGGGCTTTCCTAATTGTGGTTCAATCATTCACTAGATCCTTGATATGGGTTCGTCATTCATGGAGGAGATATTTCAGTGCTTATCAGCAAAGACTGATGGACTTGGGATTTCGGCTGTTGCCTCTCCTGAAGTTGGCGCCTCGCAATCTGCGGCTCCGGTGACGTCGAAAACGTCGCCACCTCCATCACCCACGCGGGTCGAGCGAGAGGCCTCCTCCTCCCCCCCAATCTCTGTCCGGACACCTCTCCCCCCTGTATCCAAGCCCACCCGCAGTCGGGAAACAACACCTTCGGAGTTTTCGTCACAAGCGCAAGAACAGCCTCTCCGTAACGCCATAAAACGCCTTAGCCTCGATCAAGCCAATGGGTGATTTGCGTTCCAGTAACCAATTAGGATCTTGCACAGCTTTTTTGCCCTTATATGATCAGACTAGTGGACGTGTTTACGTTTTGATTAATGGTAGCTACCGTTAGTTAGAATTAAGGCAAATCAAAGTTTATTTAATTTACAAGGAATGTTGGTATTTGAGCTAAGAGTTCATCGGTCAATCATAAATTACTACTACCTGCATTAAACTTTTGGAGTTTCGAACACATACGTCGTGTTGTTTAACCTCACATTCGGCTTCCTCTTTCTACTAGGTTTGATGCGTCTTCACCGTCGCTGTCATCGGCTGATGCCGCTGGCGATCGTGCCTCGCTTGTGGACACCTCGTCGAGGCATTTTCGAGGGATCGGCGGCAGCAGCAGCAGCAGGGCGGGCACCACCAGCACGTTGGCGCGTGCCTTTCGCAAGTCCAGCGCCTCGTTGACGCGTCGTTCGGCGGCACAGAAGGCTCCGTCGGCCCTCTCCTTGGAACAGCCTCAAGCACCGCTCATCAAAGGACGCCTTGAGCCATCTGGGAAACTGAAGCGGCCCATCATCAGCGGACCCGTGATGATCAGCAACCCTGTGCTGTGTAAGCGGCCTAAAACCCCCGTTTTTCGCGCTTTTCACGATCCCATACTCCTCTTGTCGACCCTCCCTGTACCTTACTCATTGATTGCCTCAGTTCGGTGGCCACCCGGCTAGCTGTGGCCTCAACTCCCATCCCCATACATCTGCTCATTCTAACACGTCAAGTAGTCTATCAAATGCCCACCAACTCAGCCTGCCAGTTATAGGGCAGTTCAGTTGTCAGTTTGGTATTAACGGTGAAGCATATAGCCACAGTTAAATCACGTCGTGCTGAATGCAGGCAGAGTTGTGCTTCAAGTTTCAAAGGCAATCTATTGAATCACTTGGTTCGATTGATGCAGTGTTGACAAAGTCAGTTTTTTCTGGTCAGGTGTGCCGCATATCCTCAATCAATGGAAATCAGGTGATTCACTTACACAGATCGGGCTGTTTCCTGTGCCGTTTAAAAGCGCATTAACCCAACGCGCACCGTTTTAATTTCGTCGACATATAGCGCCTGTCGAAATACTGCGCATGTATTTTGGTTTGTGTGTGTGTGTGTGTGTGCGCGCGCATTATCCTAGTATACGGAAACTGCTCGATGCTGTCATCTGTCATTCACTGATTTCGACATTAGACTGCACTGTCAAAGCTGCCAGTACGAAATCCAAAATGTGGCCTATCATCCCCTTCTAATGGTCAAATTATCTGTGGAATTTTCGCATTGGTTAAATGTGCGAAACTCCCTAGCAAGATCAATGGGATATCTTTTGACAGAATTGCTTAATACTGTCCGTGAACATGACCCTGTCAGCGGTATGAAAGTAGAGCGGGGCTGTTGTGCTGGTGACCAGGATACTTTACCCACCCATTCGTCGTTGACACTCAAAACACTTGAGAACAAAGAACACGATTGGACCACCTTGGCGCGCCACTCATTTGCCCACTAGGCACGGCGCGTCACGTTATCATGCGACTAATGAAAGGTAGGGGTGAGTCACTGACACCAAGAAGCTAGCAGTAAGTCTGTCCGGACAGGCTTCCACCCCCATGGGCCTTCACTGAGACGCTGCACTGCATTCTCAAAGCCTTTTTTGACTGGATGCTATCGCCTCTGGTTTTGTTGACTTAGTTGATAGGGCTTACTAATGGTTGCCTCCTGCCCAGGAGCCAGTTTACCCACGTGTTCCCTGAAGTTGTGGTGCGCCGTCAGGTGTCGAACGACTGAGCAATCCTTGCCATCATGAGCCTGCCTCTATGTAGCTTCTTCATGCTGTTGCATTCGGCTTAACTCGGATGTCAGCTTCGTGCCACTTTAGTTTGCGAATTTCATGAAAAATCTTGTCAATTAGCAACTTCTGTGTTTTAATCATTGCCTTCGGTTAAAAGCAAAAGTACGACGTAGACAGGCTTGAGCTTAGTTAGTACAGTGATTTGTAAGTTAATGTGATATTTTAGTCGCTGGTTCCTCGGCAGCCTCCATCCTGTCGTCTGAGGGGACGACAACGGCGGCGGTCTCCACACCGCCTCTCTCCCTTCACGAAACCAGTCGCGGCTCCTCCATCACCGCCTTCTCCAACTCCACCTTCCCGTTCGGCGCTGCCAGCAACACAACCCTGATGACTCCTCCTGCCACTACGACCTCTTCGACTACCCCGTCAATTTCTCCAGCCCCCTCCACGTCGTCTTTGGCCACCTCGAGCAACTCATCGTCGAATATCTACAACCAGAGCAGCAGCAGCGGCTACTCGAGGTTTGCGCCCCCCGCGGCCATTTTGTCGTCCAGCCATGGAGGAGGAGGAGGAGGACTCCGCGCACTGAGGGATCGCTGCGATTTGGTGTTCAGAGCCCCCGCCATGAGTTCTGGATCTGCATTTGTTGGTAGGCGCAGGGCAAATCCTGTCAATGCCGCCGATCACGAATCAAGGTACACATCTGTCTGAGCATGACCTCTCCGCACACCCTAATTTACTCTTGTGCCTAAGTACACGTGATTGAATTTGTCTAATGCTAGGACATTCTAGTTTTTTCTATGCACATCTCCGTTTCAGCTGATTCTATTTAGGAGCTGCACGTAATTAACCGATTTTCTCGCTCTTTGATTAGAACGTTAGTGTGTGTAAAGTGGTTTAGGTATTTACCCAAAGTTACTTCCAGAGGGCTTTTTGTGTCGTGTTTGTTGTCCTGATTTCAAAGTTTTCATATTCGTTGTTGTCTTCCCCCACTGCCTGAAAAAACAACATTGACCATATATGCACACCTGAGCTTTTACCTATAAAATTGGTCTGTCATGACCTGCATCGATGCTATTCGTAGTCACCTGACGATTATAAGGACTTGTGCAGTATTACTAGTCTAAAGTAGTGTGTTGAAATCAATACTTGCAATACATTTACTCCAGACGCCACCCAAGCCCTTATTGATATTTGATTATCTAATAGTTAAGGTAGACCCAAGGTAATCATTGTCTTAATCACTAAATTTGATCAGTCTTATTTTCAGCCGAAGTCTTAGATATTTACTCGGACTTGACCAGTACCTAACTGCTCTCGCCATATGGTTACGGGTTGTTATGGTATTCGTTAGTTACTTCACCTTGTCACAACTAGAGTTGGACTTTGTCTTCGTGTGAATGGCATTGCATTAACCACATACTGGTGCCCTGCTAGGTACCACGGCTACGCCGGTGACACCCTTGGTCGAAGACATCGATCCGTCTTCACGCCATGCCCGGCAACTGTGACTCTGCCTCGCCGTAACCACTTTAGGTTGGTGTTGTTTGTGTGTGTGCACTCTCCTGCATGCTTGCCGCTGTTTCACTACTAGCACTACCCTGCACTAACCCTCACCCTTTCCCCCTTGTTACTGGTGTCTCCGGTAGATGCTCCCAATCGTAGTGTTTGTCGTTGCTGTTTATGTCTTTGGGAGGTACTGTCGTCTTTTGACGGAACCTCCTTTCTGCATTTGTTCGGTCTCCTATTTACCTCAGACCTTTGCTTTGATAGGGCGAGCTAAATCTGCGGAACTCCCTTCCAACCCTGAAGTAACAGTTATAGTTCTGTTGTGTTTCGTCACTGGCACATTATCGACCCAAGTTGCCTTGTCAACGTCTCTTGAATGCGGTGTCTGGTTCCGGTTTTCCGCATATTCCGGAACAAAATAATCCAGTGTAACGTATCCAAAACCATTAGATCAAATATTTCTGTGTGCGATTCCTTTTGAAGTAACCATTGTTTCGTCAGGATCGTTAAGTTTATTGCTAATTCAGTTGGAGCATAAGATTTCACCAATTACCATAGTCACAAGAACGATTTATGATAATGGTATTGCTTAAGACTGCTTCTGAATTTTTTCTCTACGGATTATTTATGCTATTCCACATAAAGCATGCGCTTTATCGTTGGAAAGCCTCTAGGTTCCAATTAATTTAAATTGCTCTCGTTAGTAACTGTCATTGCCAGGTGGCTGGCTGCAGATAGCGTGGCGCCTTGCTGCACTTAAGGCTGGGAGCTGGTTCACCACGGCCATTTCTTCAACTTGGTGGCCGGTGAAAGTGGTCTATTTCTCTCACCGTGCCAAAACCCAACCGAGCCCTCTCCTCAGTCGATCTGGAAGTCCACTTCGCCGGCAGATACTTTATCGCAACGAGCACTCAATTAACTCAGTGAACGTCCGTTTTCATTTACCTGGTGTACTGTCTGATACTTGACCCACGCCTGCATTGATTTGACCAATCAGAAAAAAAAACAGTGGCCATGTTTGTCTACGAATTCTCGTCGGACTTGGTCATGTTGGTCTTCTTCATCGAAGCCGAGTCAATTCCCTTTTAAAGCAATTAATTCACCCACCATCGAGCATCAAAAAGCCACAGAACGCCCTTGAAGGCACGAAATATCGTGTCTTTATTCACATTTGCTTTTTTTTAAGTTATTGCGCTTCCATTGCAACTGCTACCCCATGTAACATTCGGCAAATCGTGCCACCTTTCGTCAGAATGCATGTGTTTTGCGAAAGCCCCGCTCCCCTTAGTGAAGAACGTTTTTAGTTTGATATGCCATTAACTTGGCTTGTCCTAGATTATGCATTTTTAATATCCGCGAAGCCCAGCGAAGTTCCAGATAAAACCGCACTGGCACATCGTGCTCTGAATATGCTGTCTCCCTCGTTTTTTACAACAATTCATTAACCTACTACCATCTCCGGTGGCGTGGGACCACTTCAATGCGTTTTTTATTGTACTTAAACTGGGTTGTCGTGAATCCTGTTTAGTCAACGTCTTAATCCAATCGCTCCGCCTCCGACACAGGGCTTCCCTTTTCGCAGCACACTATTTATCTTAGATTATCCTCACACATAGGTCTCGATGTTAGCGCATCTATGACTCACGCATCCGAGGTATAAATACGCACACGCAAACCCCACACATGATAACGGCACCAACGTGGTTGAGCTTTGGTTGGGGGCTCTCCGGTATTTTCTTCATCGCGGGCATCAGGTAAGCGTAATCGAGCCAGGCTTAATTCCGTGGCCCCGGCGTGGTTCAAGACCACATGCTGGGGCCCACAACATGGGTGAATCTTCCCTTTCTTACTCAATTTAGTGAAGTAGAGTTGAGTAGGCGTTTTACGGACCTTGGTACTTGGAAACAAAGCATCTAATTGGTGACCCTTGATAGCAGCTGGCTTTTGCCTCCGCGTGTCTCACGTCGTCACATCCCATTGCATTAAATCGGCTTGCATGTCTTGTGGCGTATGTCTTATCGTTTATGATTCTTGTTCCTTTGTACAATATCTCGGTAAAGGGTCCAGTTCAGTGCATAATCGACGTATTTTGTCTCACCGGCCCACGCATTTTGGTTGACACGCCAAGGTATGTCTCCTTTGCCTCGATTTCTACCAACTCCTTCTAAGGCTTGGTAAGCGTGCGGCTTGTTTACTCTCCTAAGTCTGTGTTCTCAAAGCAATAAAAGTGTTGGGGATAATTTCAGCATTAGTTGGACGCAGACGTGCGAGCACCGGCCGCCGATTGTCCACCGAGTGCGTGGGTGAAAATGTCTCTGTCCGTAAACTTAAACTTGTCGCAGTTGACTTGGTTTGGTGTTTTGCATCCGAGCTAAATTCTTCGTAGCGGTGTTTATGCTAGTCACCCCAGTGCATATTTTGACAAGGGGCGATGAAGGAACATCGTTTTTCTAATATTAATTAATAAATTTATCGTTTGCTCGTGCTTTTTTCCACAGAATCCCTTCATCCCCTATGTTAGCGCTGCTGAAGCAAACAAGTTAGCATTATTGGGACAAATACCCAGGTTTTGTTGCCTCGTTGTCACTAGTTGTCAGGCCATTACAGAATGCCACCATGGCAACCACACACCTCTGTCAACTTGAGTGACCTCTCTTTTATCACAGGGCCTTGTTTGTTTGCAGCTTGAAAGAACGACTTAATCCGAGTGCGGAAGCCGATGTTTCTTCAGCTGCGCGCGTCGAGCCGACCAGAATCAGCTCTTATTCGACAAGAGAACGATCGGCCGATCAGCAGACCAACCCTTCACCCTCAGAACTCGACCAGTCGTCTTCTGTCGCTACTCCCACGGCGTCGGACTACACTTTCATCCCTCCCTCCTCCTCCCTCCCTGGGCCTGACCTTAAATCATCACCCCCCTCTCAGGGTCAGTTCCACTGGGTAGCTCTTGTGGCGTCACCTCTGACGCCTAAAGGTCATGGACGTAGCGCCTGTGTGTGGCATGAAGTGTGGCATTTAGACTGAAATCCCACTGGACAAATTCCTCTATGCGTGTTTTGAGGAGGTTACTCGTTTGCTTTATGCCAATCTCGGGGTTGTTCAGACTACTTGAGCAGTGGGTTTTCAACTGGAGATATTATTGATAGTGAGGACATCTAAAACATACGTATCGCGAATTCAACGCATCTCGAGTATTTTAGCTTGTTTGAGTGTGGTTCTTTTTGTGTCCTGTTGTGGATCTGACCAAATGCTATTCCCTGTAGAGGAACATATTTCTAAGACTACTGGTTCAGTAATTTCGACTTCGCAGGGCTTTTACTTTAAGTGGATAACGCTGGTAGGTGGCAGTGCCACCAAAAATCGAAACATCATGTTCAGTTTGGTATCTAAGTGAGCAACCCAACAGCTTGCCACCGTCGTAGCCTATGCGTCTCGAGCAGTTTAGCCGGATGGCATTTCCCGTGCAGGAACACATTTCTGAGACTACCAGTTCAATATTCCGAGTCCGCGGGACCATTAATTTAGACGGCTGTACTCTAAGAAATTAAATCTGCTCAGCTAGGTAGCCTGCTAACATCGTAGTCTACTGTCATCGATCCATTTCAAGCCTGTCTTCTCAACAAACCGCCTTCCTGTTGAAGATTAGGCTGGTCCCATGCGCTTTGCGCCTTTAGTGAACCACACATGACTATGCAACACGACATGAGTGAAACTTTATCGACGCCTCTAGCACTCCACTTTTCGACCGAACCTTTTTAGATGTGACCGCCAGCGCAGCTCCTGCTTCCAGCGAGATTGGTGGTGGACTCTCCGAAGAACTCCTCAGTTTTTGGGGCTCGGAATTTGCCAGTATTTTGGGTGAAAGCGCCTCGGCCGCATCGTAGAGCCATGGTTAGTCATTTGGTTTACCAAACACCCTTGTCAAGATCCTTGCCCCATTTGGAGTTTGCCTTGACGCGTTCTCATGTCTCCGCCAAATAAAAGCATAGTCCCTCACTTGTAAATGAGTCAATAACAGATTCCTCTCGTCTGGCATGGTTTAAAGTTGAATCAGCTTCTAAAGTATTTCATTCTCACAACAACCCAGTCTGCACAGGAGGAATAATATTGAGCACCCTTTTGTGCGACCTTTCGGCAGAGTGAGCATTTGGAACCATCTTGGATTAGAAAACGCTCCAAAACCGACTTAATCGGTGACCACCTTCATTTGACAATTGTTGAGTGCAGTTGCGAAACCAGACATTAGACCATATTGGCCTTATTGGGTGAGGCAGAGCGTTGAGTTCTCCGTTTTGACGTGATTTCCTTTCAGTGCTTGAATTTTTTTATTAATAACTACTTTCAATATTAGGGACGCTTTTAGAGGTGAGAACGTACTACGATGTTAAATTCACACCTGATTATGTAAATTCAATATTACTTGAGGTTTCATCGGCTCTGTCGTGTCATTCAAATGACCACGTCGCAACTTTTCAATATTGCTGTTGAGTAAACAAAATTGAGAAATTCAAACGTGGTTCCCATTTGTAGATGACGCACCTTGGTTCCCGTCGACGCCTCTATTCCAGAGAATACTACTCGCGAAAAGAATTAGCATCACTTGACCTTCGGATTTTTGTCCCCCTCACTGCTTGCACTAGATACCCCCCCACTTTTATCATACTTTAAGCCCCCTCAATACATTTCCCTCATCGCCTGCGGTCTAATGATCATTTAAATTTTACTTATGGCCTCTCCAGCTTAAACAGGACAACTGACACTCGGGTTGCCGACGATACGATCAAAATCGAAAGGCTGGATCATATCATTTGAGTGTATTTCTAATTTTGAAGGCTTTTGGTGTGCTATCAAAGAACTTTGTCTACTATCTTATCCTACTGTCTAATCCCACCCAATTGAAGATTTCGGTGGTACTTACGTGTGTGTATGTGCACGACACACGGACAGTTTCACCAATGTGCAAATTTGATTCAGCTTTTGTAAGGATCTTCACGGACCAAGTTCCACCCTAAGTGTCAGTACTTATTTGTCTTTTTGCGTTGCTGCTGATGAGTGGCGTTTTACCCGGAAACAAAGTTGGTTAAGCCAGTCGCTGGTTGTGGGAATGGGGCGCACGAGAGCCGATACGGTTATGAGAGAATGTGAAGTTTTGAGAAAAGTGAGGATAAATGGTCGATGGGTTGTTAACTGTCGCTGCTCGGAGCTGTAGTAGCAACGGACTGGCGAGTTTCTTCTCTAATAAGAATACACGTAAAATGCGGCAGTCGATTACTGGAAAGCATCGTGAAGAGGATAGAAGTAGAATGTGGGGGTCCGTCGCATGGTAGTGTCACAGATGGATAAAATACAGTGAGGGATACCCAATATGGTAGCAAGGACGATGGTGTCTGCCTAGGATGTTGATGCAGTGGTGGTGCCGTCCGCGCCAGCGGCGGCCGATGACTCGCTCACCTTTGCCTTCTTCGGTGGACGGCCGGCTCCCTTCTTATTCACCCGTTTTGGGGTTGTAGAGGAAATTGGAGCTGGGTGCTTTCGCAATTGTCGAGCCGAATTGACATCAGCAAGGCCAGCGCTATTCCCAAGCAGCTGTTTTGCTAAACATGGATACTGTCTTTAACACAGAAACAGGACTAAATGGGCTCCTTCAAAGTGGATGCATACGAAGGTGCATTTCAGTGAAGTTAAATGAAGGTGCGTTAATTCGGCAGAACTCACATGATATAGCAGATTTTATATGTGAAATATACATTTTAAATGCACTAATGAGCTTGACAAACAACTCATGGTTTTGAAGGGGAAATCTGTCCAACTATAGTGTATTTAATTACGTAACTAGTCGCATTTTTATGTAAAGATAAACTTTATGTAGAGCTGCAATAAGGTTGGGATAATAAATGGTGAATACTCTGTGTGTTTGCGTTCAAAGGAAACTCACGATGAGCGAAAAAAAGAGCGATTGGGTAACAAGGATAGTGCATTACCTTCTTCGATGGTCCTCTTGATGGACTGCCCCTTCCGAATAGTAGCCTTCCGAGCAGTCTTCTTAGCCTGAGTGTTTAGACGCGTGTCACCCAATTTCTCACCACCAAGAAATTCTTTACCAGCCTATACATATACGGCAAAATTTCTTTAGTATGAGCGCCAATGCGCGAATAAAAGAAAATACAAATATTACTTTGATGAATATTTTTCAAAATGGATTAACCTGCACCAGAAATTGTGGAAAATATAACGGCTGTGATCTAAGACAAGGCAAATAATATTTTCTAACCAATTCATCGATTTGACATTTATGGAATCAATACCACGCATAAGGGCCGGTGTCTACTCCTTAATATACTTGGCCACACCTATTTAGAAATAAGTACGCAAAGTTAGAAACGCGAATAACTGACACAGAGGCACCATGTTTGATGGATAAAAACGTAGTAAACGAACATTTACACAGCTTAGGCATTACTTTATATCTGCAGATAGTAAACCCGTTTAAAATAAAGTAAATAACACAGCTATATTAGTCTACACCACGACATCGCGCAAAGTAGGCCCGGTTCCACCATGGATTCAATATTTTGCGGTAAACGCATATTATCTTTCAGTTCACCAAGCATATGTTGCTTTTCCATGATGAACAATACATTCATTAAAAATAGAACCTGCGAAAAAACATGGCGGACAGGTATAATTCTAACGCGAACTAGACCACCAAATACGAGAAGAACTAAAGCTAAAAAGTGCGCATAAGACTACCTTTGCCGTGACAGCCACTGTTGAATCTCGTGCTAACTGAGGCTTGCTTGACATCCTAGCCGAAAAATAGTTACGATTAAAGTTTAAAAAATGCGGGGTTGCAGGCCTCCATTTAGTGACCTTGCCAAGCACACTAAGCCAACAAATATTTATCTTTGACTCTAACGACTATATTTTGCTATATACAACAAAAGTATTGGCTTTAAACGCTAAAATATTATTTATTGCATATAAGAGAGGTTACAAAATGCCTTTTATGCACCAACTTTTTTTGCTGCTGCTCTGTCACAATGCAAATAGAATTATAATGTAAAATATAGCTTTAAACGAATGCTGATAGCCCTTTTCGTCTGTAAAAAGCTAATTTGACCTAAAATTTTATAATACATGACTATTAGTTTACAAAGATTTGCTGGTTTTTAGCGAGTGGCTGGAACACTAACCAATTTATGTGTTCATTTTATTTCAAATAAAAGGAAATTGCTTTGATTTTATAATATTTAAGATACTCTAAATGAAACCTGGTTATGCTGTTTTATGAAATATTTTTTTGCAAAATGCAAAGTAAAGAACTGCTGCTGCTGGATATATACATGCCAATGTTGGAATCTTAAGAATATTTCCAGAAGTCAGCATCCTAATTATTTCTAATTTGTGATGTGGTGTCTATCGGAAATTTTTGTTTCTTGGTGTCTTTGTTTTGGTAATGAATTAGAAATAAGTATCTAGTTGTAACGAATTTCTTAAGGGACGCAATTGTAATTCATGCCCACCATTGTGGATATGGATACCCCTTGGCGTCAAACAGATTTTGACTTTTCGATCCGATTACTTCAGCCTCCGACACAGGATCGGCCTTTTCGCAGCATGTCACCAGCCTCGCGGATTCTCAACTCCCTTTCATTAACACGAACATTTATCCTAGATTATTTCACACCCAGATCTCTATGTTGTCGCATGTATGACTCACACATCTAAGGTATAAATACACAACGACGTTGGTGAGTTATAAACTGATGTGTTCACATCCCATCTGGTCTTTTCTTTGTTGCGGGTAGCAGGGACGCGCAATCTGGACACATTAAATTCAGTGGGCCCGGCGTGGTTTAATACCACATACTGGGGCCCGCAACTGATCTTTCGCTTGCTAATCATAAATTTAACTCTGACTGTCAACAATTAATTTTGTTGTCCACGTCGTCATAAATAAAGAGCAGTAAAACTTTACGATAGTTTACCTGTTTTACCTCGACATGTTCTAAGGTAAAATGAATTAACGTTTCATACAGAGTTATATAAAGTTGTTACTAGAACTATACCAAACCTCTGACTTTATAATGAATCAACGATTTATTCAATTATGCTTTTTTACAGGAGTCCGTCGAAAAAAAAGTTTTTTTTTTTAATATGGACCAGCTTATGACAAATTTCCAAATTATATGTCAATAATTGCATAGCCATTTAAGTTGACTATGGGACAAAGTTTCAATACGTAAATATATAATTAGCTAAATTAGGTATTCATTGAGCTCAACAATCATTTAAAATTAATGAACTTAATGGCTACGTACCCATTAACCCGAAAATGTTTCATGCAAATGACACATACCATTAAATTTATAACAATCTTATCGTCTGATTAAATGAATTAATTTGCTGATTAATTCTTCTTCGAAAATGCGAGTCTCACGATCAAACGTGTCAAAGTTTTATCGAAGTTCAATTTAAATCATTTAATTACCAAATATTTGCGATTTCAAAGTGCGCTAGATTATGGGGGTCTGAACCCCATTGCTAATTCTAAGAATGCATCCATCAATTTAATTTTTATGCAATTCTACTCAAGCTCTAAATTTTTTAATGCTAAATAGCAGTGCCCTCTGTTGTATATTTTAGGTAACTTTTCAATGTGTGTAAAAATTCTCCTGGCATTAGGAAGTTATTAGCTTAGCTTAAATGTTTCCACACATTTGATTGATTTTTTATATTTCGACGAAATCTTCATGGATATTTAGCAGTATTTTATGAAAGACCAACCTGCATTGCCTTAAGCAATCCTATAAGCACAATATTCTCAAAGTGATTCAAACCAACCATTATGATTCTAAACGAAAAAAAATGTAGCCTCATAAATTTCTTCGCTGTTGCTCAGATTCAAACCGGTGTCGCTGACTGACTCAGCAAGAATTCACGATTTAAACAAATTCATGTGTGGTATTTCGTTCATTGAGCATACTAACCGGAATAGCAGTAAGTAGTTAACGAGCTCTTCGACAAAATCTAAATCTTTTGAAAAAAATAAATTCATTTAGCTACAAATACAAATGTTAGCTACAGTTTAATTAATGGAATAGTCTGTGTTGGTCTTTGCCATTAGTAAGTAGTTTAATTCCGATGTTTAAGTGAAACAATCCACGGTTTAAAAAACTGAAAAATGGCATTTTTCCCCTGGCAGTGTACGCCTAAAATTTATCACCTGGATGGGTGCGATGTTTCAAGAATTGAATACGCTGCCAGGGAACTGATGGCCTGGTGTAATAAATTGTCTTGTTATCATTCAAAAGTATCATTTAAACTACGTTCATCACTAGATCGTCAGACTCTTACAAAGATAAAATTCACAAACCAAAACACACATGTCCTTTTTTTTAAAAAAAAACCATAAACGAAATCGGAGTAGGCACTGGCCACATCGCAATTAAATTTACAACTGACGCGTGCGCAACTGGATTCGAAAATGCCTCGTGCTGAAGGCGTATGGGTTTGTTTAATTCCTCCTTTTAAGCACAATATTTACAAGAAAACACCACAAAACTGTTATCGCTGCCGTTAACGCTAGCTAATTGCGGGTTTGGCACTTCCAACCACGGCATCTGTATCTTCGCGCGAGTCAGTGCTCATTAAATGGTCAGGGGGCTACCCCTTGCTAATTCCTTTACGCCACTTTGCCTTAGAAACAGGCTAAAGTCGTACTATTGTGCACGGTTACTCGAGGACAAACTTATCTAAATGAAACTCAAATAAAAGTGAAATGTTTGCGTACCGAAGGCGCCCCTCAACACGACAATGCAATAACAGCCCGGGGGCAATTAGCTTAATTGCATTTGACGAGGAGCCTACACAATCCATATGGAGAAGCTCATAAATTGACCATTATTAATGCAAACACAATTAGGTGTTTACTCAATACGGCTTCATTCTAAACCCAGTTATGTTGCAAATATGCGTTTTTTGCATGGAGCATCTGACTAAGCTGACTTTCGGAGCTGTCGCACTTGCTTTAGGGGGGTACAACTTTTCTCCTGGATTTTCTGCAGACTCCATTGAAAGTGAACCCTGCTTTTGTAGTGTTGACGTGGGCATAACAGCGGTGCCGGGTTTATTTTTAAATGCGCTATCAAATGTTTGCTCTGATTTGCTTCTGCCCCTGTAAATATTTAGGCTAATTAAGAAGGTTTCATTGAGCCTAGTCAGGGATTACGAACATGGAAGCCACAAAGCCCGTTTTGATGTATTATTGTGGCACGAACTAGTTTATATCTTATAAATTTGTCATCTCAACATTCGACGCAGTCAGTCTACAAACAGGCGTGAATATGTTTGATTACCAAAGCTTTAGTTGTATATGCCCAGCTTGGAACTAAGGCTTTTGAAAAGTGTATAAATTCACCCATCAGCTAGGTTCGCTGAAATTTCATCAGTCTGTTCAGAATTGCTAAAAAGTTATGCTAAAATTAAGTTAAACTTGAAATTTATTCTAGTGTGTAGGATAAATATTCACTACGATAATTTGTGAACCGTACTTTGTGTTAACACTTGCCGTACGAAATGCAAAAAAACTTACTGTAATTGAGGAATTTAGAGCCATCAAGTGGAATTGCGATTATGCTGGGAATGCCAGACCTCCCAAATACAGCAAAATTAACATTATGGGTTGTGACGTCCATTCATTTGATTGCAACTCTACTGTCACTTTGATGGTTTTGCCGCCACAACAACTCATACTTCAGCGTTATTCGCTCAAATCATCGATCTCCGATAGATGAGATATGTATAAATAGGAAGATGTGAGCATCTGTCGAAATTGGGCCTCGATTTCAGCCTTGGCACATTCGGTATTCGATATTTTTGGTTCAGGCAGTGAGGCCTTCGGCAGAGGCACTAGTCTTCTCTTTTTTCTGGGAAGCCAACTATTAGATCACGGATTTGCATCAACATACCGGGAAAGACGTAACAGATCATTGCCTAATAGCGCTTCCTCGAAGCTAGCATTTTCGTGGCTGAAGGAGCGTTTTCCACTGAGTTACCCCTCTCCACCCGATAAGGGGATTTACAAAGTTGGCTGCAAACAGGGACCACCATGACCGAAGAACATGTAGGCGTTGGCTCAAGCATGTTTCCGGACGAAAAAGAGCTTTTGTACTGATGTGTAAATTTGCCAATCGCATGCGGATCTTAACCTATTTTGCGAAGTACTTTGTCAGTGACAAAGTCCCCAATTACAATGGCGAGACCGCAGGAATCTAATTTGGTCCTAGTAATTGGCACCTGCATAATTAATGCACCTTTCAGAAAAAAATACAACCCGTGGCTAGAAAAATTTCGTCAAGCTATGCAAAATGCCCACTTTCAAGTGCATAATTTCAGGCCCCGAGTTGCCTACTGCATTCTTGGGAAAGGGGTATATTTTGGACATTTGCGATTTCGCAACGCCCTCATGACTCGTCTGAAACTAGTACGAGACGAGTTAAAGGCAAATTTTGAAAAGCACCCCTAGCTATTAGTTATCTTAACTGATTCCGAAGGAACAGAGTTTCTAAACATTAGCACAATGCACTTTCAAAAATAGCGTGGTAATTTGTTTAGAGGTCAGCTCCTGAATGCAGCCCAAAATCAGCCAGAACACAGTAATAAAGATGGCGGGGCAATGCGTGTGTAACTTAAAACCTTCCCGTGAATGATCTGAAATTAACTTGACAAATAGTAAAATAAAAGTACTTATCTTTTAGACTTTAACAAAAGCCCATAACTTTCCCATTAAATTTTTACTTTAATAGTGAATAAAATACTGGCAATGAGGTTATCTAGGCAAATCCTCCCAGGTCTTTTGATCATTTATTGATAAGCACAAAAAAACTGCATTAAAGTTGGTTAACTTTTCATTTCTACAAATAATCATTACAAAAAATCTGATTTTACCGTTTGAAATACATGGCTACCAAAATGTGGCCTCAAACTGTTTCCATTTGATCAGTTTTACCAGCAATTGTCTCCTTTATGAAATAATCGATTTTCGAGTTGCTAGAATTTGGTACGACTCTTAATGCATAACGTGTTGAATTTTATAAGTAACCTTCTTAGTGCGCGCGATAGTTCTTCTCAATTTAAGGTAACAAAATCGCATGCAGTTCTGCATGCCTTGGTATCGGTTTTTATTCCTGAACTCAGTTTCAAGGTTCGCTGAACCAGCCTAAATGTTCAAAAACAGAACATTTTATTTGCAACCTGGCACTTCCGTGATTATATCAGGTTCCCCTTTCGTGTATGCAGTTTTGCCTATTCAAGTAACTTTGGCGATGTTTTCTTTGATAATATCTTAGAATTGCCATCAAAGACAAAAGTCGTCAAACTAACCCGACCTTAAATCAAATCATTTCGCCTCAACAACTGACACTGTTTAATCCCTTTTTACTAACTACTTGAGGCACACTTGTGAGGTTTTAATTCTTATGCTTTCCTAGCCACGTTTGTGCGTTTTAGATTCCTCGGTTGTAAACAGCATTGTTGTAATTCACGAAGTCCGAATAAAATCACGTGTCACAGTGTAAATTGGTCATTTATTGTGCAGTTGTAGGAGGATTCCATTAAAAAGTGCGTATAAAAGTGAGGGAAATACAGGTTAGAGCAACGAAACCTTCCCATATTCTGTGCCAGCATCTCTGCTTGAAGAGCTCCTCACCACAGTGTCCCACTTTGGGTCACTGTTTCGTGTGGAGGAGTCCTGTGTGTGCAGAGAGTTGCTACCGTTTACACGTCTTGAAAATACCGGTGGTTGTCCCCGCGCCCGAAAAGACATGTCTTCGTCCACGTCGTCACCACCAAGGGTACTTAGCGAAGAAAGCCCATCTCCAGAACCAATCAGAGCTTCGTAGCCCCTGGAAGGGGCTGGCGATCGACTCCGAAGATGTCCTGCTCCATAAGAAGGGGACCGCCTTGTCGCGTGATTGGTTTTTGGTGTTCGGAGAAATGCTGACGTCCTTTCATCCGTGCACCTGTCATGGAATACTAGGGGATCATCCATGCGGGTTTGAACAAGCTCCGTTTCTGTGAGCATCGGGCCGACTCTCGATGACTTTACTCCCCTGCCTTTTTTAGAAATTCCCAGTGATACACCAGATCGCCTGACATATGACGAGGGCAGATGATGCATTTCAACAAAAGAGGAATACGATTTGCGCGCCGTCCGCTCCTTAGTTGGTGAACTGCTTTTGCGGAATAGGCGTAGAATGCTGGACACCGATTCAGTACCGTCAGATTCACTTGGCTGTCGTGCTCTTGACTTCTGATCTTCTGTGACTTTGTCAACTATTTCGTAGAGCTTCAGCAAATGGTCATCAATCATATCAATCCGCTTATTAACAGCCGTTATCTCATTCATTAAAGATGTTTGCATTGTTGTAATTGCGTCCAATACAGCTTGGATTTTCTTTTCTATCTCCAACGAAACTGTTTCTGGCGAAGCAGCTTTTGTCTCAGGTTCTTCTTCAATTGTCTCGGGCTGTGAAGGAGGTTTCACTCGGAGGCTCATTGACGATTGTGTTTGCTTAAAACCTCCAGTTGGCTGGCTAACTTGAGTCAGATTCTCTGCCGTGGTTTCTTTGGCTGTCCCACCTTTCCTTGAACCACCTGCTCCCTCTCCACTATTTCCAGCCATTAGTCGAGCCCATTTACTAGCTGGTCTCGTTTGTGGGGGCTCGCTTTCTTTTCCAGCTGGCTCAAGACCTCCAACCGACTTTCTCTTTTGTGGTGCAACTACTACACTGGAAAGCAGGCCAGTGGATGTGCCACCTTCTTCTGCGTCACCACCTCCTTCACCGGACGCATTTGAGCTTGCCGCTGCAACACTTGCTGCGTTAGAACTGGCGGTGCCAATTTTACGAAAACGGTGGATCATGCGCCTGACTGGATGGTCTGCAGTTAATTCGGAGAGGTAGTTTTCATTTGTCCTATGTTCTGCTAGTTCCCGTTCCCTTCGAACGTCCTCCAATTTCCGGAATATCAGCTGTAGAATGAAAATTGCAAAATGAGTCTAGGGCAGTCATCATTAGCCAGTACAATAATTTAACTCTATTTTAAAAAAATTCCGAGGCTGATTTGGAGTTCAAGGAATAGGTGCTGAATGTCGTTTGGAAAATCGAAGCTGGAGGGTTGGGTGGACAATATTATGTCACAATGAACGAGATGCATTTGTGAATTAGTTAACCTATATGTCAGACGCCTCCGTTCTGCTTAGTCTGGTCGAAAGGGTCCAGGCTCTATGGCCAAGTGCTCCCTTAATTATTAAAGTTACCAAAGACACCTTAGAGCCGCTTAAGACAGTGCCAGACAGATGCATTTAAGGAGATGGGGAATAATTGTCCCACCTGAACAAAATGCGACTTTAAGTGTCCATCTCTCCGCAAACATTCTTTTTACTGTGATAAACAAAGTCCCCTAGCTTCTTGTTAATACATGTTTGGCGTACGTTTTTACTTACTCGGGTTTTTAGATCGTACGAGAGAACCAAATTTCGGGCGAAGCTATTTGCGAAGGCCGTGTAAAAGTCGAGAACATGCAGGAGACGATCTTTTTTGATGTAATGAAGATCACAATATGTGAGGGCTCGAACAGTTGCCGAGGAATGACTCATTCTGCCAGGATCCTTCCAGAATGGTTCACCAAAGACGTCACCACGCCCTGAACAAGCGGAACGACAAAATCAAATGGATGCATAAGTTGGCGTTGTTCAAAACGCTTCGTACTAAATTCGGAAATACTGCGTAGGATTGACTCAATACCTCTTTTTAACTGCCTTCCTCGTCTCCAAGCAAAACGGAAAGGCTCCACCCAATTTTCATCGACCCATTTTATGTGAATTTAAGTGGACAAGCCCACCTATGGAGATATTTGAACAACGTGGAGGTTTTAACGCATGGAGGACACGAAAAGCGTGCGTGAGTCCACAAACCGTAACATGGAATGATTCATTCCACCGGATTAAACAAAAAAATCTGGTTTTCTGGGGCTATCAATATGCTTTTGTGGAGAATCTACATTATGTTGCTAAAATTGAAACACAGACGTTTTTTCCAAGTAAATATACTTTTTTTCCGATCACTAAGCGTTGAAACTAGGGATTATTTTGAACCTTTCGTCGGGTTCGAAACGCCGTTTGCAGGGCAGTGAAGTCGACATGCTAATTAAGAGCAACTACATTGTTTATGTCACATATCTATTAATCGCAGTGGCCATTTACCAAAAACAGTTAATGTACACTCGCTTGATTACTGATGCGTAAACTCTCACAATAATTTAGTTTTTAGCCTGCGTCTGTCTAACGGCGTGAAAATATTATCTGTGAGATGATATAAAAACTAAAGGAACCGGAAGCTTCTCACATGGAAAGGCATGAGAACTGTATCCCGGCATGCTGTTTAGCATGGCTAATTTAGTGACTTTTTTAGCACAAAAATCTTCCTAAAGGACCAATCAAAGTCGTCGAAGTGGAAATTTTTGAGCTCAGTAACTATTAAAGTTAATTTGCTCCTATGTCTACAGAAAGCTCGGCAGACCGAGGTTGAGATATGATCTTAATACCTCATTCCTTAAATATTTTGATTTCACTAAATACCGGCTGCTCTTTTCTGGTTGCAGGCGAAACCAAAAAGCTGGTCTAGTGTTTCCCATCATCTAGACGCCTTCACGCTCGCACAAAACACCCAGCCTCCGCCATGAGCAAACTTGTCTAAACCCTCGTTTTTCTTTGCTCCATGACCATGACATTAGACGAAAAAGTTAAGGTAACCGGCCGGCTTGTCGGCACAGACTTAGTAGTTCGTTACAGGATTCTCTCGGAGTCGGCTGGAAAGAATTTCACTCAAAATTAATCTTTCATTGTCTTGTGTTGATCGCCAGCCAAACAACAGACTACACTAAACGTATTCTGGAAAACGTCCCGCTTTACGACATTCCACAATAACAAGGAGGGTGTTTTAATTAAGTGCTGTTTAATTTAATATGGCGGCAAGCAGTATGTGATCTGGTTTCGGGACAGGCGCGAATCACGAGGCTGCAGGGTTATTATAATACCTGGGGAAATCGAAACAGGCGCTATTTATAGGTGAACCAGATTAGGGTCGGCGATGTTATTCCCAAGGGAAAACCGTCTACCAGCTAATCAGGCCAGTGTCATTGCAACTTGTTCTGTTTAGACGGAAATTCGCCGCTAGCAGCATCTTATACACCTAGAGTTACAAGTGAATTAGTTAAGGCCAAATTCATATCCTGCAACATAAACAGTCATGATGCATAAATTCTAATTAAAATGATGTCATGGCGATGGAAAACTAAGGACTTCACCCATGTGAGTGGTGGAGAATCCCTTCAAAGTTGCTGGTATGCGTAGGTTATGGTCTAACTAGCAAAGCTGCTCAGTCGTTGTTTTGATTCAGTGTTTTTGCAATAAAACGACACAAATTAATGTGCGCGTGCCCTTTAACCAAACAACAACCTCAACAGAAATAATTGCTGTGACTGTTTTGTAGAACAGAGCAGCCACTTTTATCATATCTCAGTTAATTGGACTTCAGAGAGGTGAAGTCATTTTAGTCGTTTAATTCAAAACCGCTTGTAAAAGTCAAACGCAATATCGCGATTAAACTTGCAGTACAGATGACCTTTTAAACGGCATTAAACATCGCGCTGGAATGAGCATTCGGTAGAAGTCAAATTGCATAATCAGGAATTCTTTCAAGAGCTGGATGCTTGTGCAAAATCAGCTGTATTCACCAGCATCGGGAAGTAAATTTATGGTGGCAGAGGAATTTAAAAAGAGGTTTTATGACAAGAAGCATAATTTAGTGACTACTTGGGGAGTAATGTAAATATAAGTAGTGTTTGAAGACCGGTTTCATAAGTTGCTGGATAACGACCAAGAAGGGTGACCAGGAAGGTAATGGGTTCAAGCGTGCCTGTGTAGGCTGCTAAATTAGTTCTTGTTTCAATTTACCATTAAGTCCAGTTCAGGATGTAAATCACCCTAACCAGTCGCAGTTAGCTACTCATGATTCCCCCAATGGGTACTGGGGCAATTGGCGTTGTCTTGGATTGGCTCCTGTGGAATGAGATCGACGGTAACTGGTGCCGAGTTAGAGAGAAAAAAGGCTGATGAAAAACACCCATTTGAGTAACCAAACACTGGTTGCTACGAGTCTGCTTGTACACGACGTGATGCCCTACACACCTTGAAAGCTACTTATATACTTGGGGTTCTATCCATTGTAAATTCAGACACTACATTGAATACAAACTCTGGCAAGTAAGATGCCCAATTTGAGTGACTGTGAAAATCACGATTAGTCATTTACAATAGGTGTTTAGTATCCCTGTTTCATCAGCGTGAAGTGGCGTGGTGGTATGAGAATAGTGGCTTGTCAATTGGAGCTTTTCTGAATGGGTTTATTTGAGTATGAGTTGTAACCATGACTACTCCCCCCTAAAGAAAAACATTGGTTCGGGTTGTAGTAACTGTATTTAGCATTACCTTGCAACCCTCTAGATAAAAACCCGTTTCAACCCGAGAAGAGGGACAAGGGAACACGACCGTTTATGGGTACCACACAATCCAAGCGACTTTGCGTGCTTATGAGTACGTGTGCGTAATAGAGGCGACTGCTAACAGGAGCCAATAGCAAAAGGGCTGAGTCATTGGTATAGTCGGGCTTTCTGTTCACTACAGGGTATGGCTAATCCCTGCTGTTCCGACGGGCAACCTTGGAATACGTTCGCTCACACCCCACGATGACACCCAATCCTGCCCAGCTCATCGTGCTGTCTTAAAACACCAAACGTGCATTTCTTCCTCATGTTTAAAATGACAAACAGATTAATGCAATCCATGTCGAAACCGTTGAAAAGAATGTCAGTTTTGTGCTGGCCAAGCTGTATTGTTTACTCGATTCATAAAGAATTTAGCGCATAGTTTAATTCGTCTACTTTGCAAGACGCACAAGCTACGACCTTATCAAATCAGATTTCGTTGTTACATTTTATCCCTCTTATTCATTCGTGTTTATGCACACCATTTTTTGTAGTCAAATCGCCCACCTTCCCTCCTATTGGCCCATCCATCTTTGAATGTACTTTTACTCTGAATTGCACTCAATGCCGCCCACGCTTTGTAGAAGTGGGCGTTTCTGAGCTTGCACTCTGCCTTTGGCTAAGACCGTAAAAAGCTCTCGGAACGAGGCCTTGTCTTTAACGTGTTGGACAGTGAGGTTGATTATTTGCGCTTGGGTCTTGGAAATCTGTTCACCGGTAACTGTAATAAAATTATTACTGTGTATGATTGAGGGATTTGAGGGAAAGCTAGATGGATTTGACGTAATTATAACCGTCTTTGATAACAAATTCCCACTTGGGTCTAGCATTAATGACTTCTAAAACCAAATCCTTATACTGGTAGGCATCTTTAATGAAAAAAAACCTCCTGGTTTTTGGTGTTGTAGCCTTTTCCCAGAGGAACAAATGGAAGACATCACTAGTATTTCGAAGGGTAGTCCTTTGAGCATAATTAAGACAATTACGGCGGTACAGTTACAGTTCACATGACAATTGGTGAAATGCCCCCGAGGGAAATACCAAGGTAGCACCACGGTGACTAACACACCAGAAAGACCCAAAATTGATCTCGCAGAGCCGACAGAGGGCCAGATTTGAATGCGGTGGTCCACATTTTTATGCATTATGCATCCTTTTATGTGCGCTACAGATCTGATTTCAGAGCTGTCTTTAGATGTTGATTTCCCTAAAAATTATGCTTCATTGATAAAACTCACCCAGAATCGCGACTATTTCGTCATCCTGGATTACTTCAAGCGAACCAGTGACGACAAAACAGAGCTGATCTATGCTCTCTCCCTGGTGGAAAATCAGGTCCCCTGGAGCCGTGTGCAGAGTGTTGAAGTTGACAGCCAGTGAACGCAGACAGCCGTCGCTTGCGAGGCGAAAGGCCGGGTGTTCGTTGAAGACCATTCGATTCAAGTGAATACATAAATCCGCCTTCATGTCCTTGGGACAATAATTGAGAACCTACAAAAGTGAGGAATTTCTAAAATATACGACTCAAGTGTAAAACAATTTATTAATCTCCCAAAAAGTAAGCAGCTTGGGTTTCTGAATTGGTGATTGAGCCCACCGAATAATAAAGACGCTTGGATTTTTGGATTTATTCTGTAGTAAAACACGATAAATGGGATTTATTGTTGACCGTCGTTTTAATATGAATAGACAGTGTATAAAACTGGCTCCGGCATATAAGTGGTGGTGGGTGGCTGTTGTCAGGGCCTGTCAAGTAAGTTGTTGAAAGGAGGTACAGTCTATGGGGTGATTTCCTCTTGTGGCTACCAACTTTCAACGGAAATTGAATATCGGGTCGACTATGTACTTAGTGAATAAGTCAGTGCTGGAGGCCGCCGCGTTTAATTGGCTCAGTTACGCTACACCCAGGCACTACCCTATGGCAGGTGAATCAAATGAGTTGTGTGTCACGCCCCTGTTCATAGAGGGTCGTGTTTGGCTACCTAAGTTGATGGTCAGTTGTCTGGGTGAACTTGTATAAGTGCAAATACCAAATAGCCAGGTGAGTGGAGTGAGTAGCAGGGGTGTATGAGCGGATGGTCCCTCATGGTCGATAAGGGCGTCTTGAAAGGCGTGCAAAAATCGCTAGTGAAAATGACAACTCAGGATCACTGAGACATGGCTAACTTGCTTCCGGTAACATCGAACAAAGAAAAGATCAGTTTCTTAGACCGTGAGTGAAGGATATGTATCAGGCGACAGTCAGTTAGAACTGATGATGATTTGCCCTTCTTACCTTCTGCCTGGTTGAAGTTGCAGGTTTTACGTGAAAAAAGGTGGGTCTATTCACGGTGTTAAGGATCTGTTTTAATAAATTTATCAGCATTTTTTTACAGGGAAATCCAATTTAAGTTGGGGGTCCTCGTAGGTTCTCCTTTACCTTCTACTGAGTGTGGAGAGTTGCCATTGCCGCTCAGCACTGTGGATCACCCCCCGAGTTGTTAAAGCAGATTTCTGTTGTGGTTAAAACAATGCACCATGCCATTAAACTAGGTGGTGCTCGATTTTGTCAAACTGCCAGAATATGGCAAGGGTTCGACGACTTCAAAATGGCCACTGACAAACCTTAAGCCAGATTTTTGTGCTGGTTCAGCTGTGCAGTCCACCCTGTTAAGCGTAATGGCGCAGAGAAAGATAAATGAGGCGTTTTGAAATCCAGTTACATGGTTAGCGGTTGCCAGAATAATTTAAGTCAAAACAGAACCAACCATTGTATTTTTGTCATTCCGAATACCGTTGGTTCGAAATTGCATGGTTTTTATTAGCGGACAAATGGCCTAAATTTACTTGAGAAAACGGGAAAGAGAATACAGAGAGAGATGTCTGTCTTCCTGTTAGTCAGACTGGCAGCAGATTTAGGTAATCAAAATTTTTGACAAAGACTTGAATGCCATCAGTAAATTTCACCAAAATGAAGCTGATTGGTCATAGGTCGCAGCTAATTCTGACGCGAAAAACACCAGCATTGTTTCAGAGTGGCAGTGAATGAAAACATGCTCATTTCACTGTGTTTATGTCAACTGAACTGGAGTACACAGAACAAACAACTAAACAGTCAGCAAGATCATAAAAAGGCGTATTTTGGACCAGATTTAGTAACTACAGGCTGCTTTAGAATTTGCTGGGTACTAATAACACTAACTTTTATCAAAATATAGACCCCATGAAAACAACTATTAAGATGCTGACAGCTAATAAAACGCGACAACAATCTCAACATTCAGACGCCCTTTCTCTAAACGCATTGCCTGTGCGTTAACATTGGAAATTTGCAAAGATTATGTGCCATTTTTTCCAAAAATTATAGTGATTCATGATTAGCAGATGCTGGTGTTTTGAATTTTTGAAAATATTTCAGTTGTATTACATCATGATTTTGCAAAAGATTTCGGCATCAATCTTTGTACTCAAGTTGATGTCTACTCTGGGTAGAAACCAAGTTTGGTTAGCGACGTCACACGCATAAATGACCTTCAGATCATTTAAAATGTCTTAAATCACATCCTTTATGAATGAAAATGTTATTTGCTTAAATTATTACACACTCAGAAATAATGCATTCCTCTTGCGCATATCCAAATTTTGCACACGGGACATTTCGAATAATAAACACCACGGTTCAAAATCACCACAACTGAAAACTGCCCTTTGAGAAGGTAGATAATCTCCCGTCTTGACACATGAAAAGGAAATCAAAAGCTATTCTGGGGCACTTTGAGAGAGTACGATAAGGAGAAATAATTGGTGGAAGATAAAGCATCGGTAGCCTTTGATGAGCATGGAGCCATGGTGGTGGAAATACCGCTTTTCTCAATAGGCAAAGAATGAGGACATGAAAAGTTTGTTTGTGGCGTATTTTTGCGAAATTAAGAAGGCTAATTTTGCCTGCTAGATGAAAGCAGAAATCGGACGAGCCATTGTCTTCTTGTTGGACTGGTGACGAAACCGAGCATGGGCCAAAATATTTCAGTTTTTCCATAAGTCGCGCAATTTTTATACACACTTTATAGTCAAGCGAAAAATATTTTTTTTGTGCAATCACGAGGCGTAATTTTGTTAGCTTCAAAAGGAAAATATTCAAGCATTAACACCAATGTATACCTAACTCCACTAATTTCAAATAAAGTCGTTTTGAAAAATTTAAGGATTGGTAATAAACATGCAATCGTTAAGCTAATCGTGATTTACTTGCGCCCGTTTCATCACTTCGCAAAATTCGTTAAAACCGTTTTGATCGGAACTTAATGCATGCACCCAGCAATGAAACCTTCGGAGCTAACTGCCTTCTCTTTAAAATTGCATGTAAGCAGCATAATTGCCTCCTGCCCTGTTAAGATCGTTTGAATTCGGCTGACTAATCAAGCCTTTAAATATGTGGTGGACATTCATCCAACGAGCGTGAGTAAAGCCTATTCACGAGTTGATCGAATATCATCGATTTTTTAATTACAGTTGGCCTTCGATATTCACTCACGCACTCTGCTATAAAAGATTTGGGCGGTCAAATGTAAATTAAGCGTTGTATTCGCTACTGACTTGTCTTTCCTCTCAGGCTGTTACGGATAGTCAATTAGCAGGGTTGAAAGGTAGTGCTAACGGAGCCGCTACAAGTTATCTAAATGCACTAATACAATTAGAGGGCATGTAGCATTGTGATTTCAAATTGATATTTCCCTTTTATGACAACGAATGTGTCTTCCCCCAAACCCAGCTGATGAGGTGAAGCATCAGATGCTGCTCGATCGTGGTTGCCTTTCTCTAGCAACTTTAGAAAACCTAAACTGAGCACACACAACCCTGAAAGTTCTTTCAAGCGCAGCTATGACAACAAGATCTCGTGGACAGCCAAAACCCGGGTGTCACGTCAGGTTGCGCAGTTTACATAAGTTTGGGGACTTAAACCTGATGAAATAACAGTGAGCAACAACTCTGAGTGTGTTGAGTTTCCAGTGCAAGTTCGCACAGAATGACCAATTAAGGGAAAGAAAATGGGGCGAAAGTGGCAATGAATGTCAGTTCGAGTTGATCGAATGTTACATGTAATGAAAGCGTGCTATTCACTATCACCTATCTTGCCTTTCTTCTCGGGCTGTTACGGACCGTCGACTAGCAGGATTGTAAGGTAGTGCTAACGAGGCCACAACAAATAAATTAAAGGCCAAAATGCCTGTTTTTGGAGGACTAAACAAAGTGTACGTTAGCACTTGTGAGAATGAAAGTGGATCACAAATTCTCACATGCGTTGCTTTATTTAATATGACATTTGATTTTTAAAAAAATAGTAAGAAAACGTGACAAGTCTTGGTAAGAGTTAATTTAGCCCGAAATGTTAGTAAAAAGCTCTTGGTTGTTTAATGACGTAAATGTGTACAGAATCACGTCGTTCTATGGACACAGCTTTTCCGCGTTTATCCTCGATGTAGTAAAGGGAAGTTCCCAGAAATCTGTTGGTGTGCGAGAAGGACCAAAGAGGTTGATTTCTAATCTAGACTGGGCACGGCCAGTCGTTTTGTTCGGCACTTATCTTGTGGTGCAGTGAAGGTGGAAACGACTTTCGCCCTAGGCGAGCCATGACTATTTTAAGCACCACCGTACACCAAATCAATTTTTATTGGCATAGATTTGCGTGAATGGGGGCCCAGTAAAGCACCCATATTCAAGAAACCAACAATGGGAATGTGAAAACTAGTGGTAAAAAAACCAGTTAGCAAAACCGTATCGACTGGCGATTCCACTACTGACCCGAGATTGATGAAAGGCGACGTGACCGTCAACAACTTCATGATCCAAGTAAGCCACATAAATAGAAAAATGCCCAAATTAACGCAGTAACTGCTGAGATTAAATGCACCACGTATGACTTCGAAAGCATGTTAGTAGTAATATGTAAAGATAAGTCATTGGTGCAATTAAATTTACACTATATACTAGGCTGACACCAGCGAAGTTGTAAGCCTACTTAAATATGCATAGATAGCTGCTAACTTCAAGGCACACAAATGTTTCATTTTAAACACCTGTCAATTAAACATAATTGTTAAAAACGCCGAAACCTTTACCCCTGTTATTATGTCGTTGCAAAGGTTGATGTGAGGGAAAAATACAATAGCACACAACCAATTTTCATTGTGAAAGATTATGCTAATTTGCACTGCTGGAAGGCCTCGTTAGCAACCTTAAATCAGTAATTTTTTCCCTCAAACAAAGTTAAGCTCAGACGGGGCTGCAAAAACAACACAGTTGGTTTCCTGTGTACCTCCGTTTTAGCGTTCTTATGCAAAGGTAGCTGAGCCCCGCCTACATCCGGACAGAGAGACCAGCCTAGTTGAAATTCAAAATATCTCACGACCACTGTGGCTTTAAAGTCCCTTTATTAACGCACTTGGAATCATCTTACAAGAAAGGTAGTCACCATCTGAACTTTCACG